ATCTTTCGGAACCTTGCTTACTTACACCACAACATTAAATGATGAGCTAAATGTTCAGTAAGTGAAGTTTATGCATGAAATGCATGTGATACATATAAAAATCCTTTTCTTTCATGTCTTTTTAAATTCATTTTCCTCTTTAAGCACACGTTACCAATTGTGTATATAATTAGCCCTCTTTTAAAATATGCATTTTGAAAACATTCATAAAAGCTCTATGCACTTTTTCTTTTTCTTTTTCTTTTTTCCTTTTCCTCATAAGAGGTTGATCATTCCCCTTACAAGCCTCTTGGATATATGCCTAGCCATTCCTTTTGAAAACCATGTCCTTTTTCCTTTTCCTTTATTTAAAACTATGAAGAAAACATTTCCATTCTCTTGTCATGTCATGAGTATGAATGCAATAATATCCATTTCCTTTCCTTTTCTATAAATAATTGAGTAATGACATAAACATGAGCATATAATATTACCATGCACACTTAAACATTAATATGTGCATATCAGTCAAACACATAAGTACCTATTTGATAATTACACAACAGAATTTAGACATAATAAAATTGGCACTTGGTCAAATATAATGCAATCAATTAACTCAAACAAGCATGACTCAAACCTAGGTAAAAATATATCACAATCATTAACCAACTAACACGAGTCTTCAACCTAAGCCGAACTTACCCACTAACTAATAAAAAATCCTATTAATAATTAAACTCATAACATTTACCAAGCATCTTAATCCATCATATGACCTAAAATTTCTAACTAACCACTCAATCACCATAGAAAAAACATAGTCAATCATCACTCAAGAAAATTAGCTCAATTTGGCATCCCATATACTCAATCAATTAACATACATGATTCCTAGATTAAATCACCTAATTATCTCATAATTTGAAGTCCATAAAACCTCATAAACAAATTAATACTAAAACATAAAACTAAACTAATCCTCACCATATTTCATCTTGGTCGAATGTTCCATCAAGAAAACCCATAAATAATCAAATCTCAATCAAGCATTCAATCATTATAATTTCACATAAATCATGATCATATAACCTTACAATTAGTCATTTTTAATAAAACATCAAACTAACCCATTCAATTTCAAGATGGGTTTTAGCCAAATCATAGTCTCTAGCAACATCATCATCAATTTTTCAAATAAACCTCATATAAAACTCAAACATAATAAACTCATCCATCACTTAATTCATCTTCTAAACATAAACATCAAGAACTCAATCACAACAATTGGGTTATCAATTGAACATAACTTCTACCCAATCAATTAAACATCTAATAAACCATTTAGAACATCAACAATCATTTTCAATCAACATAATAATTGAATTCTTATGGTGTAGAAATGAAGCTTCACTTATCTCTAAGTAATCTTGTCTTGATTACATCTTAGGAACTTGGAAGCTTTCCTTTTCTTTTCCCTTTGAAAGTTTTGGCCAGCCCATTTAAATTTCTTCTCTTCTCATTCAACCATTTATTCTTCTTTTTTCCTCTCCAACTTTCAACTTCTCCTTCCTTCTTTCTATTTCATGGCTTGTCTCTTTTTTCTCTCTCAAATTAGTTTAGGTAATGTTTGTCTAGCTTAATTTTTCCAAACTTTCTCTAGAAATTTCTCCCCTTTTTTATCAACTTGTTGTTGCCACTAGGAAAGAAAGTTTCAAAGAAGCTTACCCATTTCACTTGCACTAAGTAATTGCCTTTAGGAAATTTCCTTGAAGTTTCCTAGCAATTTCTTTATAACTTCCTAGATAAAAATCTAACCAAACCATATTAGAAACTTCTACTTTCTTTCCTCTCTTCTTAGCCAAATTATGTAACCGGACAATTTAATTGTCATATGGTCTAATGTCAACTTAGCTTAGGTATTATTTTAGATTATCCCAAATGTATTTAAATTAAAATATTATTAATTAATTTAATTAATCTTTCTCCTTTTATTTCTTGCTTGGCCGAATATCGAAACTTGCTAGGAAGCTTAATTTATCATTTTCATTAATAAATTCTAATAGATATTTCAATTCTTAATTATTAAGTATTTATAATCCTTAAATATTTTTCTAGAAGATTCTTGTTAATTCATTCATGGTGGCCGAATTATTGGCCTTCTCTTCCTTCATCTTTTAATTGAATTTCATGCATGAATAATTGATATCCTAGTAGAATTATTACGTCCTTCAAGTCCTCATAATTTTCCATTTTGGTTCCTTAAGTTTATTAATTAATTTAATTAAGTACCTAAAATTTTAATTATTGTAATTAAGTCACTATATTATTCGCATATTCATAGCCTTTAATAATTTAAACTTGTTAAATTAAACACTTCATAATCCTTTCACATTGCATAACATTCATGCTTACATAGAATATAATTTTCTTATACTAGCATAACTATTAATCTCATACATTAATTAAATATTCATATATTAAGCATAAATTCATTCACTCATATACAATTATTTAAGAATGTTTTAGGTCAAGGATATTACAACTTCTCTCATTATAAAAATTCCATCCTCGGAATTTACTTATCTAAATAACTTTGGGTACCTAACTTTTATTTTAGTACTCAATTCCTACGTGCTTTCTCCATGTTGTGGTTAACCTTAAGTAAACATGTATATTCATACCTATGCAACCTTATAAATGTTAAATCATTACATTTATATAAATTAATTCAATTAAATCTAAATCTTGATTGTGGCCCTCAACTAACAAATTTAGGAAGCCTTCGACTTTCAAAGTATGAGACTTAATGTGGATTTGCTTAAGAAATAATTTTTTTTTAAAGAGGTGTATGCCAAGCTTAATCTAAGAGCGGATACTCCTTTCCAAATTGAGACAAGAGTTTGGGATAATGCATACAAAATAAAATTCCCGACGACTAAAATGTCTCGGATACCTTCAATGTTGCTATATGTCTCCTTATCATGGTGCGAAGGCGAAGACCAAGGCATCGAAGATGAGTTTTCTCCAACTTTAGGAGTTTGACACTAGATTGTCTTCATGATTTGATCGAAAGTACATGTTCTCTTTTTGGCCCTATAATCAAGCTTGGAGGAGATGCACTCGGGCCAAATATTACTAGTCCTCGAGGACCAAAATATTTAGGTTTATTTATCCTTATTTGTTGTTTTAATTATTTTTATTTCATTATTGTTGGATGTGGATTCTTATTTTGATTTGAATATTATTTTAGAATCCATTTAGGGAGTTCATAGTTAATGTGGATTCATATTTGATTTGAACTTAAATTAATTAGTCTTTATTTAATATGGATAACATTAAAATTATTAAGTTCATATAGAATTACGAGTTTATTTTTCTTCTTTAATAATTCGGCATGAGAGTAAGTATTTGTAGTCCAATTGGACAAATTTTTCTTAACCCTAACTGCATATTCTAGTGTGTGTATTTATTTTTTTATTATTTTTTTTGTAATTTTTAAGATGGACTTGGATATTTTGACGAGTAAAATTTGCATGAGTATTTTCTCTCAAACTTGCATTCCTTGTGCTTTACTTAGGACATGGCTTAATCTTTGTTCTTGCTGAGGATTGACATTTTGTATTCTTAAAGTGATAAATTAAAGTGGTGTCTTTGATCATCGCTTGGATCTTGTGTTTTCCTTAGGTTTACATATGTATTCCACGTAAGTTTCAACTTCTACATAGTTAGGTCTTGACTTATCGTTATTTTAATTGTGATTGAAACTTGTTCTATATTGAATTTATTTTCTACCAATTTCAGCATGTGTGGTTTATAAAGTCAGGGTTATGGCTACTTGGAGTTTTGTTTGTTGAAGTTTCAACCAACACTAAATTTGGGTTAAATTAATTTTTGACAACTTGCATTCTTATGTGTTGGATTGATTATTGATTTTTTTAAAGGGTTTAAGTTTATTTAGTGATTATTTCTTGTGGTTTGGGTGGATTTCAACACCATCTATAATTCGATAACCGATCTTTGTGGGTGTTTGGTTTAGGCCTTATGATTATTTAGACGTTGCATTCGGCTTGCATAGATATTTATTGCTTGTATCTTTGGAGTTGTTTTATCTTCACATATCCTGTGTCAAAGGCCAACACCTTTAAATGAGCTTGAACAAATAGAAATGCTTCTATAAGGTTCTTGGCATGTTGATGTAGTTAGAAGACGTCTCCAGATTAGGTATTGGAACCTGCAAAATCTAAAAGGGTTATGCAATTTGGAGTTTCTTGTTGATCGGCCATATGAGAGCTTAGAGATTGTATAGAGAAATGAAAAATTAGGTTATTGAATAGTTTTCCATAAACTATACCAGCTAATGAGTCTTAAAAACTCGAGCGAGTATGAGATCTTAGAAATGATGTGAAGAAATGAGAAATTAGCTTTTTGAATAGTTTTCCACAAATTGTACCAACTAATAAGTCTTAAAAACCCAAACAACAATTAAAGGACACATGCCTCTTGATGGTTGATGATGGACAATGGAGATTAGTTATTTCTTGATGTTCTTTTTTGCATGATCTACTTAAAAAAAGCAATCCTCCCGATAAGTTGAGAGACCCTCCGATAATAAAATAAGTAATCGAGTAGAGTTTTGTATGTCCCTCCATGAGTGCTAGAGATAATAAATAGTATTTATATATTTTAAAGAGTGGAGCACTAAGAACCTAAAACTCTTAGTAGTTAGAGTTTTTATACAGACTAGATTTCTAACAACGCTGCTGCATATTGAATATTAAGCAGTGGTTTGTTAGCAGTGGTTCAAAATCTGTTTCTAATATCAATATATGACAATGATTTGGCAATTGTTCAAACTTGTTGTAATGAAATTCTGATTTAACACGTCGATTCGCATAAACCGCTACCCAAAATACTGCATTTGTTTTAAATAAGCTACACTTTATTTAAATAGCAGTATATAAAATTTTATGAAACGATTTAGAACAATTACGTACAAGAGTTTTAAGGTCTCCTTCAAAATGACGTCGTTTTATAACCTCCGGAACCCTTTTTTTTTTTTTTTTTTTTCAGATTTGCGCGCTGTCTGTCTCTCTCGCTAAATTCAATTTTTTTTCATTCTCTCTCTCTTAGTTTCTATTTCTCAGTTTATCAATCTATCACTTGTTTTTATTATCCATGAGTTAGATTCAAGTCTAGAGAATTATGAATTAGGAGAAAAGTTCTTGATTTTTTGTGGAAGGATTGGGCAAAATTCATCTCAGGTATGTAATTTTCTTTCAATTTCTCTCCCTACGTCTGGATATTGTATGCAATTTTTTTCAATTTCTCTATCTAGGTCTGGGTATTCGTTAATATCATTCCAATCGGTAATAAACTTTATTTCTTAATCTCATACAAACCTGTTAATTAAGAAATATTTTAATGTAGGTCTTCACATGGAACACGGATGCATGGGATGGTCCAGGAACTACATCGTTGTACCAGTCACATCCTTGGGTGCTGGTTGTTCTTTCGAATGGAGAAGCATTAAAGGTTCTTGCTGACACCACACTATGCTGTGAGGTGATGTGCCAATAATGAAAAATCATGTATTCTTCTAGCCCTTGTATGTTTCTCTAATTTAACTTTCACTCTTACCATCGATGAGTAGATTGATCTGAGGAGGGAATCAATAATTCAGTTCATTGCTCCATCATCGTATCATGTTATTACATTTGGTCCATTTGCTTCAGCCACTGATGTTCTGAAATCTTTATCTCATACAATTGGTAACTTCCTACCCATTTTTTATTTGCTTCTTTAATTTATTTTCTACCCTGATTCAATTTTTTTTTTTTTTGGATTCATTGTTAATTGTTAGCTAATGTCATTTGTTATTGCATTTGGTCCATTTACTTATTGTGCGTTTGTGAATGAAAAAGATGATGTAAAAAATGGACTGATATCATTGTTTCTTACTTTACTGTTACAGTTAGAGTGGATTTTGGTGACTGAATCTTTTGGTTTTTGGATTTGGAATTGTTTTACTGTTTTGATCTTTGAATTTTGGTGTTTATGATGTTTTGATATAGGGTTGCTTAGGTGATAAGTGGCTTTTGTTATTAGTATGGAGAGAGGTTTGTGGCTAGATTAGCCAGTAGAAAAATTAGAATGGGTGTGTATCCTCTTCCTCAGTGAACAGTAGTGGAGGGATTGTGGTGAATTGACTAAACGAACAACAAAATGTTCAGTAAGAGGTGGAAAAATAAAAGGTAGAAATCATGGAGTGGGCTGCATAAAGAATGGTGGCTTAACTATAATGGAATGATTAGAATCTTGGTAGAGAGATGGGGCCATAGGACTTTACCGAGAAGAGAATTTGAGTAATTGGCATTACTGACAAGGATCTTCCATTTGTAATGGATGGAATTTTGTAATTTTAAAGCATTGGCTTTCTTCTCTTAATATATGGAACATCTAGAGGCTATTATTGCTAGATGCTACTTCGTGGATTAGAAACCATTCATTTAACATTTAACAGCCAGAGTAGACATTAGGATTCGTATTTTATTTTTAAAAAACATCTATTTGGCTAGTGATTTATGCTCACTTTCCTTGGGAACTGTTTTTATGCCTCCAAAGTGGTCATTAGGATATGAACAATGCCGGTGGAGCTATGATTCCGATGAGAGAGTTCGCTAGGTGGGGGTTTTTAGCATTCATACATGTAAAATGTTGACTAGTATAGGATTTCAAGCTAACCTCCTGTAGTGATCTCTTCTTCTTAGCTGTAGAAAGACCATATATTTTCAATGTTATCATCCCCAAAGTTTTGTTCACCTTATATTAGAGGTCCTCAATTGTTTAAAATTATATAGTTCATTCATATTATTTGACATTGTATATCCTGTTTCTGGCTGCTAAGCCTCTTCTTCCTGGTGGGCTAGTTTAGTTAAAGGATTTACGTCTAATGGTGTCGATGGCATTTGGAATGATATGAATGAGCTAGCTGTTTTCAAAGTGATTCTATGCTTTTTTTCTCAAACCTTCCATTTTCTGGCTGTTGTTTCTTGGTCTCATTTTTTCGCTTTTTTGGACTGTCACAGAGACGATGCCTGAAAGCAATTTTCATTGAGGAGAAAAAGAAATTGGAGGTTGTCAAAACCACTCACACTATCACAATGTATTCTCCCTAAACTACATTCTTGTTTTTTCCTTGAAACATGATAATGATATCTAAGAATGGGATGCCAGTACTATAATACTATTATTTTCTTTAATTTTATGCATTCTTGGCAGCAACCTGGCCAAAGAACTATTGCTTCTAATTTATGAATTGTTTGCTTTTCTATGGTTTTGCTTGCTTTCATTACTATAGAGCAAATATTTTTTGAAATTTCAGTCATTCTTGTTGGTTTCTCATTTCTATGTCTATGGCATGCTTATTGCAAGATCAACTTATGAAGGCATGAAGTTAGCTAATGAAAAGAAGCATCCTTTCGCACTGAAGGGAGCTGGATTTATTGGTAGTCAAAGGTATGCTGCAACATGGATGAGAGATAACATTGCAAACTGGGAGCACGTACTAATGTCTATCGCCATAGTATAATTGGTAAGTAATTTCAGCTTGTTGTTTACCCATTGAGAAGTAGGCAAACTGACTTTTTTTTTTTTTTTTTGCCTCTTAGTATGTTATAAGTTATGCGTTTGTCTATCTCATATGTTTCTCCAAATCCTCACACCATCATTGTTGTAAGTTATGCTTTGATTTTCTTTTCTTGCCAAGGTCGATTAGTCATTTCCTAACAACTTCTCTTTCAGGCCATGTTTAAATGGTAACCACATGGATTTGACCATTCCATCACATGTTGGAAAGATTAGTACTTGGTTTTGCTCCTTTAGAGAGAGAAATTGCGGTTAGAAAGGGAAAATGCTTTCCATTAGGAAATGAAATTAAAATTTTTATTTTCTCTTCTTGCAGTATGATTATTTGCTCTAATTTCAGTTTTTCACTATGGATAGGGAATCAGTGGTCAGCCACCCTCTAGACCTGATATTGGTGGATTTACTAGAAATGCAACACCCAAGCTTTTTGGAAGGCGGATGGGTGTGGGAGCTATGTTTCCTTTCTGTCGTGGACATTCTGGAAAGAGCATAAATGATCATGAGCCACATGCTAGCAATTTGATAACAACCTCCTCGCTTATTTCTTAATCGTAATATGAACGTGGATGTTTCGTTTTCATATTGCACAGCCTGGAGTAATTGACATATGGATGTATAACTGGTAGCAAGAAAATTATTTTATCTGTTGTAACTGCTAAAAGCTTACGTTCCAAAATCACATTACCATTTTTTAAGATCATATGTTCTCATAGGTTTTTTGCCACCTTCATAATTTTTCTTTTGTAAAACTATTGTACTACAGATGGAAAGGGCTAGCTTACATTTAAAAAAATTATTGCATTAAAACTGTTGCAAATGATTTAAAAGCCATTGTATAATTTATTAGATAAACTGTTATTTTGTTTGAAGGAAACTGTTGCGTAAAATAACTGTCAAATTGTAGCATGTATTGTGAGAATTATTGCATAATTTTTTAATTAAATTGATGCTATATGGTACCTAAAATTGCTGCCTAAAATAATAAAGTAACCGCTGCATTTTGAGGACATGATACAATGAAATTTTTTGCATTGCTATTGTACATAAAAAGCACTCCATTAATCTATTGCAACATCGATCGGATGTAGCGATGTAGCAATTAGTAAACTATTATATTATGTGTGATGTAGTGGTTTTCAAATGTTTAGCAATGGTCTTCAATCGCTACATTAAACTTGATATGTTGTGGTGCAAATTGCATGATAAAAGAGATAATGATCTTTTTCCTTTCTGTTGATAATCATTTTTCTGTTGACAATCATTGATGTCAACTTAAAAGACTTATATCCTTGATGTGACTTGTTCTCCGATGACGTTAACATTATCATGGTTGGTGTCGATTGAACAAAGATAATTTTAAAAATTATCTTTAAAAAATATATATCTTTTTTGTCGTGATAGTTGATGGAGTAAATCTTTTCTCGTCCATAATTAGAATAGATAACCTGGGTTGAAGGAATACTAGCATTTTGTTGAGGCACCAGCCAACCTTTAAGAGGATCATGCATCTTATTTTTAGACTAAATATGTTAGAAATGTTTTGATTGACATGTGTCATCTGAACTCATCGATAAAATTAACACGTTTGATACGGATTCATCAATATCTTAAACAAGTAAATAAGATTTTTTTAAAAAATATATTTTGGAAAATAAGATTATTAATTACCTTAAAAAAAAAATTATCTAGAAGACCTCTATAGACAAGAAATAAAATGCTTTATAAACGTGTCTACGTTATTAGTTTGGAACTTGCATGTGAGGTTTGTTTTTTTGTTTTGTTTTGTTTTGTTCCCCCCACAACTTAAATTTGAATCCTTTTCATGTTGTGAGTTTTGCAGATCATGGAGAAAAAAATGAGAGAGATTTTAAGCAAATTTTCTGCAAGGCAGTGAATGGTCATTCATCGAAAATCTAGTCTGTTATCAGGATGCATTAGCATCTTCGACGGGCAAAAGTAGAGATTTTACATCACGATATCAATTTCTTATATCTTGCTATTTTTCGTATTCAAATCTCGGTTAAAACATTGGAGGGAAAAATGACACATCTGGTCCTCTTTTCTGAAAAACATTTTAGTTTAAAAACCAAAATTTATCTTTTGTGTTTTAAAAAAATAAAAAATACTTAACATATATATAAATATTTTCTTAGAGGGGAAAATTTTTTAGCCCCCCATGTGAATGGTCCTGGATCATCGCTGTCTTTACCAAGCCTTTGTCAAGTAAATATCCTTCCATCTTCACACACACCACCTAACTAATAGAAACTTCCATCACTAACCAAAAACCCAGAGTTAGCTTGCTAGAAAAAATCCCTTCTAATGTCTGCTAAAAAAGTTAAGGGAACATAGCGCTTTTAGGACCAAAAAAAAAACTCTAGAAAAGCAAAGAGGCAGTATATATATTATACATTTCTTCTAGTCATTAATTTTCTGAAAATAAAAGAGTAAGATAGTCGATTTTCTAACATCAACACAAACAATAAATACAACCAAAGTAAGCCGAAATGCTAGCAACTAAATTAGCCATTACATTTATATCAAACTATAATGCTAAGAGAAAAAAATCAGTAGATTGATACTTATCTTGTGTAAAGAGAACTTGGAAGATGGTCCAAGTTGATACTTTATGCAGATGATCCAAATTCTACGTAGTTAAAAAGATACTCGGATCCGCTTAAGGAATCGTCTCTTGGCATGAACAGATGCTCAAATCACCATTGGGCTTGTATATCTAAATCAGAATAAATAAAAAAAGATTAGGTGATTTTTTTCCTATTGATAAAAATTTTAGGATATTTTATAACCGTTAAGCCAAAAACGAATCAATATGAAACACAAGCAATGAATTATCAGGCAACAGAGCATGACAGTATATCTAGCAGATGGCATCGTTGGCCGAGCTCATATATCGGTATTTCATTCAAGCAAACAATAAAGAACTCAACCATGGCTGCAAGACTTTTAGCACCATGTTTTGTAATGCTACTTTTTGTTTCTTTTCTGGTTATATATGTGTCTGCCATGCCATCGAAGAGGAGAGGTTTTTTTAGCACAATCAAAGAACGCAACCGCAAAGGGCCTTATATTGGTCTCATAACCGTGCTACCATTGGCCGTATTATTATAGTATTAGTACCCAGTCCTGGTTGCTGTCAAGAGTAGTGGACTAGCAGGATTTTGTTTCCTCGGGGACGGGGAATTTCCAGCCCAACAAGGTCTGATGGGTTACAAAAATCTTCTTGAACCTAATTAATCTTCGATATGCGTTCGAAGTAATGCCATTCCAGACTCAACTCCAAATCTTTATTTGCATTATACAGTATTTACCCAGATGCCAATGCCAATTTTCCGAATGTTTTATAGATTCCATAATGATATCATTATCACTCTACAATTCTGTAATTTTACCCCTAAGATAGCGTCTTGAAGTTTCTTTCTTTTTTTTCTTTTTTTCTTTTTTTAACAAAGCATAACATATGCCATGGAAAGGCATTGTATTTATTATCATACCTTTATTCGAAAACTGCACCAATACCACACCAACAGTTATTTTTCACATGAATTTTACAAATTGATTTAAGGTGTGTTTTAACTTCTTTTTTTTTTTTAACTAAAAAAGCTTTTAGTTATTTTTTATGAGTTTTACAAATTGATTTAAGGTGTTTTTTTTTTAACTTTTTGACTAAAAACAAATCTCAAGTATATCTAATTAGAAATAACATTTAAATTAAATCAAAAGTCTACTACAAAATTGAAGTTAAAATTTTGTTTTAATTAAAATTTTTAACTTCTGAAGTTGGATTCTAACTTATACTACATTTCTTCCTTTTTTTAAAAAAAAAAAAAGCCAAGTCGTTTTTACCTAACATTCTTCTAACTTAAAAGTCATTTTAACTTCTCTTTCTCATAAATTATTTGTAAAAAACAATTTTTGGATAATCACTCGAAACCAGAAGCCATAATTCAAAAGTGAAAAGTGATGTGAAACAGACTCTTACTCCTTGGAGCCATTTTGGAAATCATCTCAACTTAATAACTTAGGTAGAACACAACTTCTCTTCTTCCATCTCTGTATGCCAAAAAGACTGGGGAGGTTGGGCTGTCATATCTGATGTAACCAGCTAACGAAACACTAGAAGTGATTGGACGCCAATGCTCTCAGATCAAGCAACAACGACACGAGGACCACCAAGACCACACAGTCATTGGGAAAGACATAAAGGAGGGTGCTCAAGCGGAATCAAATGCCATCTCGTTTTGATTTGATTGAAATTTTAACAAACAAATGACGAGAATTTGTCAAAACACAGCTGGCATTTGTTCCGATTCCAACCCAAAAACAAGAAACAAGGAAACGAAGAAACAAAAGAGAACAGCAAGAGACAGTCTTTCTACAACTAACCCTAGAAACAGTGGTAGTAGTTTCAGCTCATTGACATTGTTATGCTTCCATCATGATTACTTTCCACAATCACCTAGCGCTAAAGTTTGATCAATATTAGAAATACAACTTCTCACCATGGCAAAGCAAGAAGTAGAACAGTTATAATTAAACACACACAGATTGCTACCGTTAAAACGGTTAGTGATTACAAACAAACCAGTTGAGAAAGCAAATGAGACTGGGGTCATCATATCAGTGGTTACCATCAACAAGTAGTCATGTCTATCGGTAGTAAGCCTGCTGATAAGCTGGTGCAAAACCATTGCCATACCCTCCATATGCAGGATAAGTCAAAGGAGCTACAGGGTATGACCCAGCAATTGGAGGGGGGCAGCCTCAGGTGAGTAAGCATATGGAGATGGTGGACTCCTGCTACCATAAACAGCTGGTGGAGAAGGATATGCTGGCACCCCAGTAGGGTATTGTGCGTGTGAGGGAGACCTGGCAAAAGTTGGAGGAGGTGCAGGGAAGGATGACACGTATGCATTAGTCAAGCGACCGGCCTTGGCTGGAGGCATTGGGCCACCATTGCTGGCACGTGTTCGTTTGTTAGCTGGAACTGCAGCTGGCCTTTTCTTCTCTGTCTTGACCTTCTCTAGTTGTTCAAGGCGTTTCTTAAGGTTTTCAGGAGAGAACTGTGCCTCTAGTTTGTAATCTTCAATGCACTTGATGACAGCCCGAAGTGCCGACTGCTCTTTTCGTGCAGCAAGATGCTACAAAATATGACCAAATGATGCTAATTAGTAGAGAGTTTCGAGTGGGCTACTCCTACAAAAGAATAATATTCAGGAATGTGTGTAATTCAAAACCCCTTCAGCTTCCAAGCAATTAAGACAGCTACAATTGGCGCTACAATAATTACAGGAAACTTTGCATGCAGAATCATGACTACTCATTTACCAATGGTTTTTAATATAACAAGCATAAAACATTTAAGCAAAGACAAACAATGTTATAGGAGAACGAGTATCAAGGAAAAGATAATATAATTGTCCTTGAATAGCCCTTACAGTAATTAGAAATAAAAACTGCATTGAAAATAAGCTCATGCGAAGTCATGGTGCCTGACTAGTAGTTTGGAGAGGCTATAAATTATTGATGGGGAGGTACAGGATGATGACCAGTGACACCAATGTTATTTCCAAAGGCTTTTATTGAAATAAAACAAATGCTGTAGAAACTTATAGCTAAAACAAGAGAGATTCCCTATAGTAGAATGTCATATTGCAGTTTAGTTAAAATGATAATAAAAAAGGGCCGTCAAAAAAATGCAATACTACCTTGTTATTTACCACTTCTTTAGAGAAAAATGCAGAGTTTCAATAAACCGCCCACCAAATGAAGAGAAACACAAAATCAATTTCACCACACATGTCAATAACATAACACGTGTCCAAACATATGTTGCAGTTGAACTTCTTTCCAGTGACAAAACTAAGTCAAAAATCAGTTCCTCAGAAGAAAGGGCATATAAGTTATCTGTGAACAAAAATCAACTAGTTATGATGGATAACAGAAAAATACCGCAGCTCGACCAGTATTTTCAGGATCCTCCAAAAAGAAGCTGCAGCCTTCTTAGCATCCTTCAAAAAAGCTTTCAGCAAGGGGACAGGGGGAACTTATCCACAAGGCCTACTTCATAGGTGAAATGCACTGCATCAAGCTGCTGTCCCCTATTAATTAATTCTTCGATCATAGCTGCATATAAAAACAGCATAAAACCATCAAACTAATCTATAGGAAATATGCTAATGAATTGCATCAAAAAATTCAAGACAAGGACCCAAAGGCTACTTCAAGAGCAACATGATCTGGCAATAATACTGTAAAAATCACTGAAATATTTGAGATTGGGATAACTACATTTGAAATAAACACATATATTTAGTACACCTGATTTGTGCTCCATTTCTCTCAGACCCACACAGGGTGTTATATGGATTCCACATGTTGACTGATACTTATGTGCACGCAAAGAGCTTTGGTAAAGGACGTGTTAAATGATTTCTCCAAAGTTCGCATTATACTATAAATACATCAATTTACACTCACATCTCTAAACTACCGAATTCATTATCGTTGCCTTTTAAAACAGCTAGATTCTAATGTTGGCACATTATAGTTAATTGAATATTCCTATAAACAACATAACTTCACCAGTCTCAACTTTAAGTTCAATAAGATAAACTTATTGCCCTCGTAACAGAAACAAGATGCTTTCCAACATGGGCTCATAGCTATTTTTCATCGATTTGTCAGGACCACAACAAACTAACTTGCACAAGAAGCTGCTGAAAGACTAAAGCACATATCAAATGCCAATAGAGCATGCAAAACTTCTAGGAGCAAAACCTTCTCATTTTGACCACAAGATTAAAAAAGTCACCCTCACCGTAATGTGTAACTTCCAAGACTGCAAATCAACAAAAACGCTATTTAAAGACTAGGCGTTCAAAGCCCCTAGGCAGGCAATGAATGGTCAATGTAACCTACTGATTCAGTATTTAGTATTGGACAGAAGCAGATTAAAATGAAATTGATCCAAATACACCAATCAAATCATACAAGGGCTTTTAGCTAAGCATGCAAGGAAATCAAGGCAACCTTATCTTGAAGCTCATAAGCTTAAAAAAGGGGATGAGAACGTTTTCTTAGACTCTATAACCACTGAGAGCAATTCTCAAGTTCTCAACCATGTCTGGATCACAAGCAACATACATAATAGGGTTTTAAAAAGCTGGATATAGCAATCATAATCCCCAAACTCCTCCAAAATGAAAACTTTACTGTCATTAATAAGACACCGTGTTACATCACTCTCTCTGTTTCCACTGACCCCTAGATTTTTGCAGATACATATATAGCTTGTTCCCCCACATTGAAGTGTGTGATAACAAACCCCTCCTTCACTTAGTTTAGGGACCAAGATCCGACATAGACTCTCTAGGAAAAACTTAAAATAAGTCATATCAACAAAGGACAGTTTTTTGTTGTTTTGTTTGCAAACTCACTCTTTGTCGGCAGAAAACAATATTATCATCATCATCATCATTATTATTATTTTGCCCAACACAGAGCAATTAATGTAAGCTCAACAAAAATCGAGATTAACAAGAAAACATCTCTAAAAACAAAAACCAAAATAAAATAAAACCCAGGAATAAATAATGAAGCAAAGCATACCAGGCATTTTATCACCCAAACCAAGAGAGACAGCAAGCTTAGGCATCTGTTTCCTCCAAGCAGACCCGACAACAAGCTTCCTATACAAATCCACATCCTCCTTCTTAACAATCCCAAAAGTTACCAAATGCTGCAAGAAAGTGTGCACATCAGGAGTCTTCACGTTCTCAATCCCACCTCTTTCCTCCAAACTCTTCTTCCAAGTCTCCGCTATCTTCTTCGCTCTCTCCTTAATTCTAGGCGTAACTAACAGCCTTGATTTCCCGATTACTGGGTCCACAACAACCGGAATCAGACTCTCCAAGATTAACACACAAGCCCATCCTAGATCATTTCCCTTTTCACCACTCCTTTCCCCTCTTTTATCCACAGGAAATACCTCGGATATCGCTTCTATAACAAACTTTGCCGGATCCACACACTCTGCGAGAGCCAAAGGAATTTGCTTCCTCATAATTTCAATTTCCTTCTTTTTTGTAATCACAAAATTCCAAAACTCACGCGACGCCATTGTCAAACAGAGAGACTTCAAAACCATGAAAACCCCATCTCCATCATCCACATCTCCATCCGGATTTTCATAATCAGGATCTGACAATGATTTGATAGCTATTTCCTTGTGCTCTTCGACGCGCTCGAGTGCGATCTCCACGCTTCCGTCGATTGTGACCTCGCGCTTCTTTAGCGAAGCGAGAGAAGTTTTTGTTTGGTTATCTAGGGTTAGGAGTTTGTGTTTCAGAGCTTCTGATTTCTTCTGGAGGTCTTGTTCTAGTGAAGTGAAGTGATCGGAGAGTTCTTTCCAGAGGAGAGTGCAGCTAGTCATCAGTGAAGTTTGACGCTGGAACTCGTCAAAACTCGGCTGAGTTAACTCGGTTAACTCGCCTGGATCGGGGATCGACCCCATGGTGTTGGTTGTTTCGGTCAAATTATTGGTAACAGTGAGTGATTTTTTGGAGAAAGAAACCCTAGAATGGAGAAAGAAAGAGAGAGAGAGAGAGAGAGAGATGTGGTGGGCAGAGAAAAGATAAAGTTAGATGGAGGGAAACAAGAAAGTGATGAGGTGGAGCGTTTCTGGTAAGACACGTGTACTGGCGACTAGGAAAAAAGGCCTAGTGAGGGGGTCTAGAATGCGCCGCGGATGCGTAGGAACTGAGGGTACGCACCAAAGAGTTAGTGGAGACTAACGTGAGCGGGGGGCGTAGGATGAGAGAGAGCGATGACGTAAGATAAAAGGAGGGTGTTTGGGTTTTGGATTGGAAGAGAGGACAAGAAGGGATTACTTTCGCGGTAACCGAAGAGAGATCGTCAAAAGCAAAGTGAAATGAAAAGGGAAGGTGGGGGTTGGTGGGCCAGGCCCACTGTGACCACCACATGGGTGAGTCAGATAAAGTAAAGGCATTGCCGGTCTAACAGTAATATAGTAGTAGAAGCACAGTAAGTATTTACCAAATTTTATGGAATGTGAGCGATAGATAATGGAATAAATAATAATAGTATGGGTGGGTATAGAGTGAGACTGAGATGCATCAAGTGCTGCTGCTGCTGCTCATGGATTCAGAGATTCAGGCATGCGCATTATCTTTTTATGGCTTTCTAAGAAAACTTCCAACCTAAAATCTTGGTTGTGACTTTACATTAGAAAACAATTAGGACTTTGGAATTTCTTAGATACGTAGATTTTTTTTTTTTTTTTCCCTTCCTACCAAACATCACAGATACCTCTAAACCACTGAAACTACATCCATTTTGCATTCAAATCATTTTTTATATTATTTTTATTTTTCAATTATCACTTTCATTAAAACTATTTAATGACAATTGTTTAACTTTTTTATAAAATAATGTTGAATGTGTTCAAATTTTGATTTCAAATCTTCAATAATCATCTAAATTTAAGATCTAATCTTGAAAAAAAAAACAAAGAAAATTTGATAGAATACACTTTAACTAAAAAAAAGAAAGGCTAAAAGAAAGAAATAAAACTCGATTAAGAAGAGAGAGAGAAGGGTTGCTGCCCGGTTTGGCAAAGAGTCACGAAGGAGCTCTCAAAAAGAGAGATAAGGGAGATGGCGATATTGATAACATATTGTTGGAAAAATAGAAAATGTTACTTGAAAATTTTGAATAGAAAAACAGTAATGTAGTTTTATTGAAATTTTATAAGTGATTGTTTAGAAACACAATCAAGTTGTTTTTTTTTTTAGATAATTCGTATCATTCATAAAATTTTATTTGATGTAACATATTAAGGATGTATTATATGCCGTCTTAAGAATACGATAAGCTCAGTCATTTTATTGTTTTTAATAAGTTTATACTATTTGTAAAATTTAAAACTTAATTATAAACTAACATCACTTTTATCCAAAGAAAAAATTGCTAAAAGATAATATGGTTTTTAACGGGAAACAAAAGCAATAAAATTGAAAGAAGAATTTTTACTATAAGACTAAAACATTTGAGATTTTAAAACAATGAAATCATTGTTTTACTATTACAATACAAAAAAACTAAACAAACTAGGGTCTTTCAATAGTAAATGAACAATAATGAATAAGATTCCAACTCTGTTGTTTTCTTTTGTTCGTTTTTGTTTTTGTTTCTTTCCTGTTGGGTTGACTAGCACTGAAGGTCGGGCTCTTAAGCACACACGCATCAGGTCTTGGTTGCCTAGCTTGATCTTTTTTTTTTCTTCTTCATGCATCCAAGCCCTGGCTGCCTAGCTTGGCCTTCTTTCCTTTTTTTGTTTTTTGTGTTTTTCCTTCATATATATATATATATATATATATATAGCTCATGATTGACAAACATATCTTTAGGTTACAATAGTCATTTTGAAACATTTTTAATTTTTAATTTTATTATAAATTTATAATGATTGATAATTTTTTTATATAATTTTATTTGTTAATAAATTTGATTTTTAATATATGAATTTTGGAATAAAATTTTAGAATATCAATGTTTTATTTTTTTAAAAATATATTATTATAATTTATACAATAAATTATTTTTATATTTTTAAATGACTTATATATATATATATATATATATATATAGAGAGAGAGAGAGAGAGAGAGAGAGAGAGAGAGAGAGAGAGAGAGAGAGAGAGAGGCTAAAAGTATGTTTTAGATAGTTTGACTCTTTTTAAAAAAAATAATAATAATGGGTTAAAAATTTCACAAGTTTTATTTATTTTTTTATATATATTTATTCAAAATTTATCATAACAAATTTTATGATAGTTTTTATTTTAATCTATTTATTTTGATATATTTCTACAATTTAGGTGAGTTTTTTTTTTATATTTTTCTATTTATTCTATATACACCCTCAATCTGTTATATATATATATATATATATATATTAAAAATTAATTATATATAGATTCGATTTATATTAATTATCAAAAATAAAACTTTCTATTGACATTACACCATACGAATCATTAATCCTACATATGTAACGATTGTCCGCCCGTAATGTAGTGCGGTATCCGACTATTTTCTCTCTCAACAAAGTAAACAAAGAATGCTTGTTATTTTTTTCACTTTCCACAAGGTAAGAAATTGTTACTATTGTAGTGTGTTTTTTATCAAATGGCAAGAGCCATTTATATAGTAAAAAAATTGTCCGTTGGACAATTGAATTAATAAACCAAATTAAATGGTTTAAAAAAAACTTTGAAAATGAATGCAAAAGCCGTTTTGTTAATTGGAAAACAAAAAAGAAACTGTTGTAAACTTTATTTAAAGTACCATTTAAAATTAGACTTAAGTATTGTTGAAACGGTACTGCTGTTTCAAAACAATAACTTATATATATATATATATATATATATATATTTGAATATCTTAGTAAAAAATTATTTTGTCAAAAAATATCCAACACATGTTTAAAAACAAAATAGTCAAGAATGTATTTTTACAATATAAAAACTAGTTTGAAATACTTTCATCTCAATAAAAAAAAAAATCTGGCTATGATATGCATTAATTACTTAACTTCATTTATCTAAATAAATAGTTTTAATTGAATGAAAATAATAATAATAATTTTGATAGTGGAAACTATATCACGCAATGGTGTTGGACAATTGGCAAGAAATTAACTCAAATGATGAAATCAGCTGATGTGATATTATGCTATCCAAAATTATGATGAGATTTAAATGGAAAAAATTTAGAGTAGAAATTACTAGACTAAATTACCAGGGATGGCAATATAACCCAAACCCATAGTTACTCATCAAAACCGATTTGGTTATGATAATAGTTATAGTTTTCATAGTTATCAAACAGAAAACCGAAATTCAACCATACCGAAAAATAATATATATATATATATATATATATTACAATAATGTCAATGTTATAACTAATTAGTAATTAATTTCATGTTTTAAAAATGCTTATTTTTACTATGGTATTGAGACTTGTCTCATGTTTATTTTTTATATGTTTTATTTTTATTATAAATGAATATTTTGTGTGGTTTAAGGTATTCTTATGCGCGAACCTATTAGATTATGGTTATTATTATATTTTTAATATTCAATATTCTTGTTGACATGCAATTATTTAAATTTGTTGCATTTAGATTTAAAAATATAGATATCTGATGGCTAACTAAATGGATAACCGATGATTATAGTTATGGTCATGCTAAATTTATAACCATAGTTATAGTTATTGATTTTTATTATGATTATAAATATGCAAAATTCATAACAGATTGTTATGATTATAGTTATTTATTTTAATTTTAGTTATAATTATGATTATAGTTATCCCTTAAAACTTTAAAAATAATTAATCATTGTCATCCCTATCTCAAAACCTATTGGAATTATTTATTGTCGAAGAAGGAGATACTGTGACTTCATCATCCATCATCGTGCCCACAAGACGAACGTAAAAGGATAGTGCCTGTGGAACACCACGCAACACGTACTCTTTCTTTAAAATTTTAATGAATAGATGTCTATCTGGAAACCACGAGGTATTATTTAAGCCGTTAAACTTTGGAATAAAATATGGGGATGCTTTTGGTTAAGTTCAACCTTTATGAAACACAAGATAATAGGGCTTTTTTTTTAGAACTATTCTTTCAACTTCTAATTTAGATTTGAATTTTCTTACCAATTATTTTTTATTTGAAATTGGTTTTTTCTTTTAGGTTTTTATCAATTTTAATAGTAGAAATCAATGTGATTTATACATGATTGATTTTCTAACTTCTCCAATAATTAAAAATGCGTCAAAATTTATAGATACTTTGCTTTTTTTTCTCAAAAATTTGTTTTTTTCCTTCTAAAATGTTTTTTAATTGCATGTTTATTAACATTTAAGCAAAAAAAGTAAAATATTTATAAGTTTTGACATGTTTTTAATTATTGAGAAATTGTATTTTTGTGTTAGAATTGATAAAAATTGAATAGATGAATCCCATTTTAAATAAAAAATTATATAAAAGAGAAATCCAATTCAAAAATAAAATTTAAAAACTTAAAATTCAAAGAAAATTTGAAATGCTTAGCCCTCCCCGCATGTATCACTCTCCTTGTCTGTTTTACAATACTGTGCTACTTTCAAACTCAGTGGGCCCATAGAGTAGAAAGTTTACAAGTAGGCTTTTTAATACAAGACTTTGGGTTGCGAAAAATAGTTAGAAGGCCGCCTTTATTTATTCAGTGTTGGGCCCTTCAAATTACTAGAGAATTCAACTGATTTTTACCTGCCCCAGTTCAATCGAACATACAAGGAAGGAAGCTTGTGATTTGAATTTTCGCAAACCCTTGATTGTATTTGGACGAAAGAATGATGGGTTTCGTTTTTCCATGCATGTGTGGATGTCTACCTTACTTTCAACAATCTCATTGAGCTTTGCAAAGAAATGGTTCCCCATCATGACAAAATCAACAACTGGAAAATTTTAAAATCTCCATTGTATTATGATTATTTAGTGGTCCACTAATGGCTATAATTGTGTGGCTAAGGCTTTGTAATAATTGTACAAGGTAGCTGAGGTTTAAATTAGTATTAACTCATTAATTAGTGCTTTATTCATGCAAACAAGAAAGTAGGTGGGTTCATTTCGGGTATGTTCCCGTTAATTAAGACATTGTTTGGATCCAATCATGTTCTTCTACTCTTCCCCGTATAGCATCCTTTCCCAAGGTCATCACGCATCTTCAGAAGTTGAACCATCAAAATAAGATTCTAGCTCCTGCTTCAGCACAAATATGGACAGGAGATGGGATTGAAATAGCTTTTCATTTGCTTGCTAATCATCAAATTCAACAAAAAGAAACAGGCATCAGGGAAGATGCCATCATTTGATTCGTGTCTTCAGCTGCTGGGCCAATAGTCCAATACCAATCTCTACAAGTAGTACGTTAAACGGAACATAAATGCAATTGTGCTCATCGTTTTCGAGTACCGAAAGTCCGAAACTAGAACCTCTAGTTGTTGAATAAATAAAAAAATAGTCAATCATGTAAATTGTAATTGCCCACTTTCCAGTTACCTCCATTAAACACTACAGATTCTCCTATAAAAATTTGAAGGCACAGGAGATTAACTGTGACATTTGGGAGAGCAAAGTGCTTCCTCCCCTCCTACGGTCATAATGCAGACTAGAAGGGGTGGAAACATGCATCCATCTCAATCGTACTAGTCAGAGGGACCTAGAAGGACAACAATAAAACCAGATATGGTCATGAGGGTATTTTTCAGGTTTTTGGAAAGCAGCGAGGTCGATGATTGTAAACAAGATGAGGAAGAAGTGATAAGATAACGATTGCCATTTTTAAGGACGCCAGGGAAAAAGAAAGAAAGAAAGAAAGAAAAAAGGTACGGTTTCTTAGTGCATGGTTGTCAGATGTCTTTTCTCTTATTTGCTAGCATTGGCCATGGTCCATGGATATCAAATCTTCACACCTTGAGAGTGCGACCCACCAATCATCCAGTTGCTAAAATTACACTCCCCACCAGTAAAACTAGATAAACCTACAGTGTCATTTGAAACATGAAAATATTATCTCCTTAATATGATTTTATAACTCCAAAGAAGCCAGTAAAACTAAATAAACCATCCAACCGCTGTGCAAGTTGTCACCATTCAATTCCAAATAAAATATCTTCGTTTTGGCAACCCGACTTCACCAAGCACACAAGGTGAAGACTCTTTCCATGAGAGAGATCTCCCTTTTTCCTTGCATTTTATCATATGCCTAGTTAGCACAGATAAACGGTGGCTTGAATGATCAATGCTGCCAAACTAGGCTTGCACATATGATGCCAACTCATGTCTAAACATCACTGCACGAATAACAGGGGAACATGAAAAGAATGGAGTGAACAGAACCTCTAAAATTCCTGCGTACCACAAGTTGCCATTACAAACACTGATAAATTAGCATCCGAACTCCAAGAGACCGCCTCTTAGCTTAAATACAGTTGGCAAAAGGCCTACATGAAGTCAGTCAAAAAGAAGGAAAACAAAATGCCTCATGAAGCTTTTCTCGTCTTCTGCAGCACAGAATGCATTGAAGGATCAGAGGTTTGCAGGTCAAATAACAATACATTAAATTACATTGCTGTACCTCTTGTGTCATGATCCATCATAATCTACTTGGATGCTTTGTAATCCTGCTGGCTCTCAATCACGACCTTCTTCCTTGTCTCAAAATCAACCTTGTAGAGATCAGAAACTGTTGCAAGATAACCATATAGAATCCTGGTTTTCTCCCCACTCCTATCCACCTTCACAAGGTTTGGATTTTTCTCGTCATCCTTGCCAAATGTCAGGGGTGTTATGCGACCCCAAGCCTTGCGTCCACGATTATCCTTCTCAAAATATTCTGCCAGCCGTATAGCCTCTTTCAGACCTGATTGATCACCACCAAACTTTACAAGAGTAATGCCTAGATGACCCTCTCTTCCATACAAGGACTTTGATTTGCCACCCACAAATCCGAGATCTGACCAGAAAAGGTAAAAGAGAAACAAAAATAAGTGTCCAGAGTAGCTCTATTGCAAATATTGACCAGATGATGAAGCTTTAAGAATCTTCATCAAGTCTTAATCCAACGCTAAGCTAAATCAATGGTTCCATATATGGCATTTATAATTAATGATTCAGCTCAAAGGGAAAAAAATGATTCTCAGCTGAAAATGACAGCAGAATCTAGAAATATCGGTTAGCAACTGTAAATCATCCAAAAGAAAATTTGAAGATCACCCTAAATTTGCAACTTGCAGTGGCTGATAGCTAAATAGACTGCGACACACTAAAACAAATTAGCAAAAGAAAACAGAATAAAACCAGCCTGTTGTTACAGCCTTCCCTTTAAACTAACATCAAAACAGAAAAGTAAAGAAAAAAGCAAACTAAAAAATCATGGAAATAAGTATATTGTGTGCAAGGAAGCACAAACAAGTCACCAACATTTGTAAGACTGAAGGTCCCAAGGTTCTGGTAACTTGAAGGAATACAAAAGAGATGTATGTAGCTTGGTCTGCATAAAACAAATACGAAATGTACAGCCTCATAAATTGTATGCATAAAGACTGAAACCTGGAGTCATTGGATGCTCAATGAACAACAGAACCTTTTATGGTTTCTCAGTTATGTCTCTTATCTTCACACGTCGACTGGTCTTTCTGTAATTCTCAAATTACAAATTCTAAACCTCATGGAACAAGAACAAGAAGAAGTCCCCAGAGTCTTTGCAAGGACCTATACATAAATAGTTATTTTCTTAGACTTTCAATATCAGAATTATGATCGTTTGGTTTTAGCTTGGATGCCTATGCATGTATGTAGTTGGGGCATTATCTATCTTTCTTCTACTCTTTTATTCCCGGTTCTTTTATTTCGATTCCTAACTTCCATCACTGCATTAACTTCTTCTCACATCAAATTATCCATTCTTCCATCAAGTAGAATCAAAGTTACAAATTTGCAACTCTAGAACTGTTTGGTCAGTGTTCACAGCACCCAGGGGGCCTCCATACTTCATTCTTTGCTTGCTTAACTAACCCATAATCATGCGACAGCATACAACACCCAAAACACTTTACACAATAGAATGATTCATCAAATTAAATTCTAACTACAGCAATTATCCACTGCATCAGAAAACCCGCAATCTACATCCCAAATTCTAGCTACTCAAACTTCTCTAAACAGAATCCACCTACTCCCAAAGCAGATTATTTAAATCTGCTCAACATCATAAAGTCCTCCACAACCCAAATCTATAATTACTAAACTTCTTTCCTTTACCTCACAATTATCCTTTTGCATAGCAGTTTCATCTGTCAGTGAGGTGGGCGGAACTTCCAAATAATTTGATACATTTCTGTGATACTTTTTATAGATGAGCGTCCTTCATATATTAGCTAGACTCTTGGCAGCTAATTACTGCAGGTGAGCTTCACAAGCGTGGAGAGGCAAAAAGATCATATAGTTCAAAATGATTCATGATAGTTTTCTCTGAGTGAATATAATGTAAAAGAGACTAAGAGAGTGAAGAAGAGAACAAGCACAGCCAATGGCTGGTCTTCTGATCTGTACAGCAGGGAGAAAGAAAGAAACTACTTGAAAAAAATTCTCGAAAGTATAAATAATCTTTCGTTACAGAAACAAAAGCCCTTAAACAGTTAAGCAAAGGCCTAACAGAACAAACCCTAGCCCTTAAATAACTTAATTTTAACCATGCCAAATACCATAATAAAATAATATGCATAAAAGATACTATAGAAGGAAAACCATAACTAAAAGAAAACAACAACAATATACTGGAGCACCCGCTAAAGTAACCTATCAATTTTGAGCTACTGCTCAGGGTTTGCTCCCGCATCAAAATATCATCAGTATTCTTACCAAAAAGTGCATCAAAATGAGGAGGTGTATTGGGATAGAGCTGGTAATCTGTTAAGAACTGTTACAAAGTAAGAAGTACATCCTATATAATGGGAGGGTTCTGTTAAGCAGATAAATATCATTGTATATGGCGCCAATTAGAGAAAGGAACTAAGGGGCACACTATACCTCTCATTTTGCTATCCATTGCTCTGTTTCCCAAACCTTCTACACGCCCATCTTTACTCTTCCCTGTAACTGTGTTATGAATTATCACCACTGGTGGCCACATAATCAAATCATCTTGGTTTGCTCCTGCTTCATCAGCAGGTAAGAACTGATAGGCCTTTGAGTTATCAGGAGGCTTTGAATAGTTCCATCCCATTAGAACACAGAGAGCTTTATGCAAGCCCAAGTGATCCACATGCACATCAGCATTATCTGAGCTGTATGTGTGCATTATAAGAGCATGCATGTCTGGGAAGTCTTTGGAAGACCTGTAATTTTGCATATCAAGGGCATTGAAGAATAATAATTCAGGTTTCTCTCAGATATTGTTAAGTCTACAAGTTCGAACTAAAAGAATAGTAAAGACGCATTCAGCACCAGATTTGTGGTAAGTTCAAGGCACAAACAGACAAGTAACGTATCAAGTACACGTCATAAAGCCCATGCGTTGCATGCTTCGATCAGACTAAACAATAAACGACAACGTTTTGAAGTGTGGCAAGCAGGTAGAGATGAACTTTGAATCAAAACGAGTCTAGGTAACGGATCCACCTTTGCTGTCACTTTGACACTAAGGGGACTCTTTAAGGTAAACCCCTTCAAATGTCATCCATAAAAAAAATGAAGAAAATTTATTCACGTGGGACTTATACACCCCAATAAGCATAAATCGAGTTCCACTACACAATCCTTCCCAAAAAGAAGCATAAACTCAACACAATCCTTAAAGGAAGCTGACATGCAGCTAAGAATATAAACAGGTTAAGAAGAAAGAGCAGACGAGCTGAAAAATACACGCTTTAACAAGATTAAAGCCAAGTTGCTATAATGATAAACCCTTGTAACTCAACAGAAGGCAAAAATTGACCAATATCACCAAAAAAGTCTCGAAAAGGCTATAACTGTTTTTGGTGATGATAACCAAATGTAATGAACAGGTTATGAACTGCAAATAAAACATATGACCACAAGGAAAATGAATGGGGAAGAATGAAGCAAGGAAATGGCATGAGAATGCAGTCATTCACATAACAATCAAACCTTCTAAGAGATTACTCAAAAACACCATATTCTTAAATCTGTATGGCTCCCTTTATCAACAAATGTGCACAAAAACATGATGTTAATCAATGTCAACAATTAGTAAATATGCAGCCTGCAAGTCTATATGATATAACACTTATAAGCAAATTTGTCAATTCCGTTCCGGATTTCTTATTGGTACGAGATATTTTGGTACAGGTGCATTTTAGCATTCCATTTCCGATTTAGTATTATATATGTGTGTGTGTGTAAATAGAATTTTATTTTCATATATAAATTTAAAATAATAAGATGTTTTATTTTTTGAACCAGCACTTTTGTAAGTGGCATTCTAAATCTTTTCATTTTTGTCAAAACAACTTTAGCAATAGTTATTAATTGAGCCATATAATGAGAACAACGTAAATAAGTTACTTTTTGGCAAAAATAAAATAAAATAAAAATCTTGTCAGTGGAGGCTATATTTGGGAAGTTATTATAAAACAAGTAATGTAAGTAAAATAATACCAACATAAACATTTGCCTCTATGGTAAAAAAGAGAGCGATTTCATGGAAATATAAAATTGGAAAGAAGTTCAAAGACTTTAATGAGAGAGAGAGCATTAAGGCAAAAACAATTCTTTATGCTTTGGATTAAAAAAGGATTGCAACTTTCAATAGTGTTTCTTCACCCATTTTTAGCATGGAAGGAATGGCCGCAAGAAGAGAGAGATACATCGGCCAGAATTTCTGAACCAAACTGGAATTTAATGCAATATGGAATCAGGGGTTTGAAGTTCTGGATTTTAGGACGGCATGAGGTATTTCGTCCATTCTGGCCGGAATGGAATGGAATTAAAAACCATGAGTAAACCACAAAATGGGAAGGGGGTACACGTGCCCCAAAATGTGATGAACTATTCCAATTTCACACATACGAGTATATAACTAAAATCAATGAAGAGACAAAAATGCAATTATATAATGCTCATCCCCTCTTCCCGGGGTCAAAACCTCAATTAAGTCCTCACTTTCTTAACAGTCATGGTCAGTAGCCTTTCGCATTACGAGTATATTTGCTAAGTGATTAAAACAATTAAATGCTACTCATATACCAGTTAAACCTCTTTTGTGATTTGCCATTAAGGGCTTAAGGGCCAAGGGGTAATATTGAATCCCAAATGGGTTCAATGTTAACATAGGGGGCTAGGTTAATGGAGTCAAAGGAAGCTAAAGCTACAACTAACTCCCAAACTGTTGCTCATGTGTTTGAGTTTCGCTTCCATTGGGAACACCAAAAGCATACGAGTATGCAAAAATCATACCATATCTAATAAAAACCATAAGTACGCTCAAAACACTTTTAAGTTGTTTAAAAATTTCACACGTAGTCCTATAACATCCCAAAAGTATTGCAAAAAAAATTCAACCACAAGGAGAAGGCTATTGTCTCAATTACCATGATTTATCCCATCCCGAAAGAGGTACATTAGGGTGTGAGAAGTTGTTTACCAAAAAGCACTGGGAGCTCACTTTCAAAATCATACAAAACAGTGAATGAACTATTGCAGAAAAGAGTTAATGTCTGCTTTGCGCCATAAATAAGTTGATGCAACTTGGAGATTAAAGTCACTCCGGACGAACATGTAAGCAAGGCCAAATTATAATTCAGTAACTTTATGCAAAATAAAGATTGCTGTTCTAAAACATCTATGATATAAAAACATCTTCTAAGTTTGCAAAATAAAGATTGCTGTCTCAAGTTTGTTGCTTAGGCTTTTCATAATCTAAATACAAATAGCATGTTCTTCAATAGTTCTCCAAAACTATTTAGGACAAGGAATGTTTCAAAACAATAAATAAGGAAGTAAAGTGCTGCTATGCATTTTTTAGGAGCATAATGAGAAAACTTGAATAAGAACTTCTCTGCTGTGTTGGATTAATTCAAACCATAGAAAGTGATGCTTTCTTCCAAGGAATGCTTCGTTAACCTTACTTGTGTGAGGCTAGCGAATTTTTCACTTTCACCCAATCAATTTCACACCCGATTCAGATCTGAAATCACATGTTCAATCCCTAAAGCCTCAAAATTCCTTTTCCCTCTGACTACTTCAATCCCGTTGATCTTCAGCACCTTGTACATCCATAAGTCCATGTTGGACAAGGCTAAAGCACCTCAGACAATCCTTGCTTGAATTATAGCTAGCTCATAGCCAACATGCAAACCTCATAATAATCAGCAAAGATAGATGGTCCACAACCAAAAAATGCAACTTACAGTCATAAAGGCACTTGCAGGAATTGATAACTTGAGATCATGAAAGAGAGAGAGAGCTACATGATAAAAGCTTACCATACAAGATAATCAAAACCGATCTGGAGTAGAAAAGAAAAGAAAAGAAACAGCTAATCTGTAAATAAATGCTAAGGTTATAAACCTTAATATAGTGTGCATAAACACTAAGATCTGATGTTATAAAGAACATTGCACAAGAAAACAGGCATCAACTACCTTTATTGGTCAACTGAAGCACCAAACAAGGAAATAATAGATCCTATTCATATTTCCATCCGAAATACATGTCAATATTAAAAAAACCATGAGAATAAATGTAGTCAATGAACACCGGACATTTTTTTATCAGATAAGTTAGCCTAATAATTTAGAGTATATATGGGAAACGAAACACAATAACAAAATTCAACTTGGTTCAGATTTTTCAGTCATCAAAATGCTCTCAGATATACATGTTGACGGCTCCTTGAGAATTAAAAGATCTTCAAAGCATAACAAGTCTGCCAGGTTACACACAAGAGGAAGAATATCTGTAAACCAACTTGAAAAGGTATAAAAACATGATCTCCTCTTCTACAAAAAGTGCAAAGATAAGGTGAATGCTAAACTGTTTTCCAATTTGAAAGCTGGAACTCAAACAAGGAAGCCGCAAATGTCGACAATAAATGCACTAAATCTACAACATCGTTAAGACCAATTGTGACCAAAGGTAAACATACAGGAGTTCTACCACAGAATTTTACAATCTAAGTCCCAATTCAGCAGGTAAGCTGACATTCATAACACATTTTAAGGGATTTAATCATTACTATTCAGTACTGCAAATAAGAAGAATAAAACAAGGCAAGCTACAACCAAAAGCCTACCAATCTGAAGCAGAAGACGAAAAGAAAAACAAAGAAAAGACAACAGGCAGTCCAAAACTACAGCTAGTCTGCAAATAACTCCTAAAATGTTTACACCCTAGTATAGTATCACAAAAGCCAATAAATCAGTCTAATACAAAACATCACACATGGAAACAGGCACCAACTGCCTTTCTTGATTAATTGAAGTACCAAGCAAGAAACTAGATTATTTTTTTAGTTTCCAAATAAGGCATGCATATTCAGACTAATCATAAGCATCAAAAGTAGCAAACAAACAACCGACTTTTGAAAAAAAATTCAGACAAGTTGACCTGATAACACGATGGCAAAGATTAATGAAGTCCATCCAAGTTTAGAAAATTTCACGCATCAGAATCCAGTAAAATGGAGTATGTATTCTCACCATGCACAGAAATTAAGCAAACATCTAAGGATAACACATCTTCTTATCAACACAGGAAAAAGCATCCATAAACCTATTTGCAAAAGCACAAAGACATGCCAGTATATTTCTAATTCTACAATAAGTGCCATGCAAAAGGTGAATGCTTAAACTCATTTTCTAACTTGGTTGAAACACAGACCCGAAACCTGTATTTATCTACAATAAAAGCACAAAATCTGATGTTTCAACCTTTTGTGAGAACCAAAAGGAATACATAAGTTCTACCACAAAAATTGCAACTCTAAGTCCCAACTCAGAAGGCAACTCAACATCTATGATAGTAAGGAACTTGCTAATGAATAAGAACAGTAACCATGCAAAAAAAAAAAAAAAAAGGCTAGGAAAGTATTTATATCTATCTAAACTAGTCCAAAAGGAGGAAGGACTCTTTAACTATCATGTGCTGGTCGACAACTTTCATGTCTTGCTACATGCAATAGCAGTTATAATTTATAAACCAAACGTGACATCTGCAGTTGGTGCATCACTATCAATATTGCTAGCATCTTGCCATAGTCGTAAGCCTACCCCTCAGGTACTCAGTTACACCATTAAATAACTAATAATTTCCCTAAATTGAAAGGAACCATATCAAACATCAATTAGAAACTGACAATACTAACAGAGAAATACAGAAATGGAAACTATTCCTGTCCTAATACTCTAGCAGCATAGCATACATACCACCACACATACCAGCAGGCAAAAGTGAAAACCATCAAACTCACTAATACTTCGATAAAAGTGTATTTAATTGGCAATAAGCTTAAACACACTAACAAAAGCATCTCTTATGTGAGGCTTTAGGTGTTGATCAGTCCCGGACAGACTGAAAATAGAGTATCTTCCCTCTTGCAAATACAAAAACAAAAACTATAGAATAGTTTCTAAACAAACCTGGAGCTACACATATGTTTTGTACCTATAAGCAGAATATACACTAAACCACTTCTAAAAACGCATGGAAAACCACTATCTCGCTCCCATTAAACTCAAAGAAAACATTCTGTAACTACCACTCCAACATTTGTATGCTAAAATGAGGCAAACATTCAATAAAGTACTCACAAGAAAATAAAATAAACAACGAAGAAAATAAAACTGAAAAGTAACAAACCTGCCACAAGCCACGCACTGAAGCCGCCCTTGCTTCCCATCCTCCAAATACTTCTTCCTATCAGCCTCGTTCTCGTTAATCGCCTTCACAAAATGCAAAAACGCTTTCTTTAATTCTCCCTGGTTCACTTCACCAACATTCCTATTGTTATCACTATTAACAAACCCAATACCATTACCACTACCAATCCTCATTTGCTTCCCCGCTCTCATTTCGTCCCCCATATTACTTGTCCCAGCACGTCGATTATCCGGCCCCAAATTATAACTTCTCCCACTTGAATTATTATTGTTGTTATTATAATTACTACCACTATTCCCGTGCTTCACTAATTCCTCTTCAAATTTCCTCTTATTTTGGTTTTGATTCTGATTTTGTAAACCTAACACATCGGGGCTCCGTGGAGGGAAGCGGGGCCCACCGGGGAGAAAGTCGGGGGTGGGCCCCCCGTGAAGGAACCGTGGTGGAAGAGGCGGACGAGGGAAGTCTTGGTAATCTGGGGGGAGAGCTAAGTAAGAACGGACGCTGCCGTCGGCAAGCATAATGGTGCGGCGTTCAAGCATGTGAAAGCCGTAGGTAGGTGGTGGAGGAGGGCCGAGGTCTGGGAATGAGAACGGAGGGACTTGTGGAGGTTGGATTGGACCTGCAGTAGGAGTAGCAGGCTTGGGTGATGGACCAGCGTTAGGCTTTGGGGAAGGGTTTGGTTTAGGGAATTTCTGGTTGGATTGATGTAGTGGTGGATTATTGTTGTTGGGGGCGGCGGTGGAGGTGGATTCCCAGCGGGATTTGCGATAGGGGGCAGGGGTGGAGGACGAGGAGGGTCTGTGGGTAGAGGATTTGGGGTGGGAACCACCTGCCATCCTCTGCAAGAATGAGAAATTAGGGATTTTAATCGGATAACAAGATTTTTAGTAGAGTAAGGAGAGAGTGAACGAAATTTTTGAGTTTGTTTCTGCGTTTGCTTTCAGCGGGGAGACAGGCTCTGGGAATGGTAAAAACAGTGGTCTATTAAAAAAAGATGATCTCAGGGCGAACTGCATGTCGTTCGGTTTTAAAACCATAGTTTATACGTAAACTACACATCGCCTTGACGTTTTTAAGAATTACCCTTGGGGTTTAGTAAAATATCTGGAGTGTCCTTCTGGATAAAGTCAAGAGCTAGTGGAAGACCGTTCTTTTTGAGGAAGATTGAGGAAGCGATTGCAAACGAAGTCTCTGTGCGGAAGGAATCAAGGTAAAGCCATCTACTCTGCGTCCAATTCTAGTTAGGGTTGAGTGGGTGTATAAGTTTTATTTTGTTTCTCTTTTTTTGTTTTTGGTCGTGTTGATCGGAACACATTTCCGTACTACCTTGCTTGTGGTTCGTAGGATGCTGCGGATTTAGCTTACTCAGCTTGGTTTTGAGTTACAGCAACAAGAATGGCTATGATTCTTGCAGCAAAAGTATACCCTTTTGTCACTTTCAAGACAGTGGACAGAAGCTCTAAACCTGATATTGACTGTAAGCAAAAACTTCCCTCGCTGTACTCTTTCTTTTTCTAAATCAGAATTGACAAATCTTGTTTCTTGATTGTTTTAATGCAACATAACAGATAAACTGAAATCCAGGTGTAATGCTTTGCAATCATCTCAAGTTGCCTTGCCAAGTCGTCGAGGTGTCTTGTTCTGTAGTGCTTCATTTGTTACAGTTCTGACCTTAAATTGCGTCCTAACACCATTACAAGTACGGGCTGAAGATGAATCAACTGACCAAGAGGAAGAAAAGGATGACGGGGTTGTTGGGGCTATTAAACCATTGTTTGATCCTAACGAGAAAACAAAATCTGGGAAACTGTTGCCAAAGGCTTACTTAAAGTCAGCAAGAGATGTTGTGAAGAACCTCCGCGAGTCACTCAAGGAAGATCCCAAGGACATTGCCAAATTTAGACGGACTGCAGATGCAGCAAAGGAGTCCATCCGAGAATACTTGGGCAGTTGGAGGGGACAGGAAAAGGTAGTTCGTGAGGTATGCTTCTTCAACGTGTGTTACCGTTTGAAGAGTTGTTACATTCTGCCACCATTTATATCCTTGTGGTTCACTTGCAGGAATCATATGTCGAGTTAGAAAAGGCAATTAGATCTTTGGCCAGGTTCTATTCTAAGGCTGGTCCATCTGCACCCCTGCCGGAAGAGGTCAGGTCTGAGATATTGAATGATTTGAATACCGCTGAAGAATTTTTGTAGCAGATGAGGAACTTTTAAGTGATCAGATGCACATCAGCTAAACTATCTTGAACCCAACTGGTTTCTGGATGGGAAATTCAAGCTGCCCTCTCTCTATATGCAATCACCTCTTTTCCATCGAACTATGAAGAGAAAAACTAGGAACTTGAATGCAGATGAGCTGAGAGCCCTGAAAGTGGGAAGTTTATGAAACAGCTTCTATTGTTACAATAGAATTCTTCTCTATCGTTTTGTAGATTCATGCTATCAGAACATTTGTAAGTTTTTTTTTTTTTTCACGACCATCAAGAATGCTAGACGATTTAAGCAACTTCAGTAACTGTTTTCCCTTTCTTTTCTGTATGTATTCTCACTTGCATTCTTGCATGATGTAGCCAACACAACTTCCGTTGCTGCAAACCTGTTAGCAAGGCTGTGTAGCAGTGAAGGCGTATTCATTAAGCAGATTTAGTGAAACCAAATTCTCATACCGTGGACAAATGCATAGTGATTTTCTTTCCAAATTGCTTGACATATCCATATGAATTTTACCATGCTTAAAAAAATAACTACAAATACTAATAAATAATACAGAGACAAAAACAGGCAGAGAGGAGAAAATTAAGAAAAAATACTGAATTTAAATGAATATATTCTTATTACTATTGATGAATCTAAATATGATTTTATATCTTGACTTTATTTCCATCACTCTTCTCAAAATAAACAGCCTTTATATCTATCTCAGTCTTTATATCTATCTCTCTTTTCAAAATAAACATGCGAACTAAGCATTAGTAGTTACTTTCGAAGTATTTTTAAAATTTCTCCAAAAACACCTTCTAAATTATAAAGATGAGAAGTAATAAAAAAAGGTTAGCATCTCATATGCACTTGACAAGCAACGCATCCCATTCCGCTGGAAAGATCATAGTCCCAAGTTTAAAATAAAGGGCATTTCATGACTAGAGAAAAGGTACTGGATCCCATTCAAGGCAGACAGTTTGTCAAATTCACTTCATGTGCCAGAGTATAGAAACAGAGGAACAACTCGGCAATGACTAGAAATCAAGTTCCCCAAAGGCCACAGTTCAGAGTTCTCAGTGCACATTCGCCAGTGGCCACCAAGAAGCTTCAATACAGTGACAGGTGCTAACAAACAAATAACAACTAAGAGCTCCTAGTTTATTCTTGACAAATACACCTCTACCGTGCTGCTCTCTTTTTCCCTACGCCAAAGGAGGAAAACATTGTTTGGAATACAACATCAATTCATTAAAGTTCATAACACAACTAAAGATATGGGCAGTAGTCTATCCTTCATAATATCCATGTCTTCTTACTGGACTGCCATCAGCAGAACAGTAGAATGCCTACCAACTTAATCAGTTTTACTTTATCATATATATATATGGTGCTCGGCTGATTATCAAAACCACACACTAATAGAGATAACCAAAATGGATCTCATGGAGGACGCTTGAAGACATTGCATCCATTGTCACATCACCTTTACGCAAATTTAAACCATCCTTCTTAAAGCATTAATAAAGCATCAGGATCGCGATAGGACCCCTTTGGAGCTGCACACAACAAATCAGACGTGCTTTAGAGTTTTCATATAAGAGATATTACATGGAATGAGTAAAAGTTCCTTGTAATGCTACATAACTCTACAATGTGCCATGAAAAAGGCCACCTAATGGATAGTGAACATGCTACAAAGTTGAGAAAAAAATGCAAACAAGTGCTGGGAAATGACTTATAAAGTGCTACTAAGGGGACAAATAACAAAGTCACATACAAAGATGGGAAAAGGAGAAATGATGTCAAAGGAGGAATTTTTTGAGATCCACAAAATAGAAACATACCATACTTTTTCGTTAACGTAGCCTCCAAATCAATGAAAAAAATAAGGAAAAAAGCCTAGTGCAGTGCTATTTCACTTACAAGACTCTTTCTCATCTTTAAATCAACTTCAAAATTTAGAGGATGTTTACAAGGTGAGAGCCTTTAATGCCACTGCAGTCACTGCTGAAAAAGAGAAATCAAACCTTGGTACAGTCCCGAGGCGACGTGGGTCATATTCTGTTGCTTGTCGAAGAGCCCTGGCAAAAGCTTTGAAGGTTGCCTCAATAATATGATGAGAATTTCTTCCAGCAAGCTGTTCTCAACATTGGAACATTCTTTTGTAAACATAAAAGTGACAGCAAACAGGATTGGAAATGCTTACTAGCTAATCATTACAAGGAAAAATGTAAATTATAAAACTAAAAGGGCAAATTGTAACAAAAAATAAAATGCAAGCCAACTTCTGAAAGATTTACGATTGCAACAAAGATCATGGAAAACCTCCAGTACTACCATTGTACTGTCAACTTGGTAAATATCTACACCAAATTGTGCTGTGCTAAATTTTCCATGTCAGATAAAGTAACGTACCCAACACATTTTCAGTTATGTGAGTTACCCATAAGACCAAAATCTTTCTACATTTTATGTTTTATGAACCCAAATTAAACTTGAGGAAAACCTAGATCTAATTTTACCACCAAAAGGAGATCCACTCCTAGATGCTTTTTATTGTTATCACGTCCTTATCCCGTGTTAATTATTTATAGGATTCTGATCATGAGCTTTGTTACATATCTTGGGTTCTCTATAAGGAATTTAAGCCATTCTTATCCACGGATTCTACTTTGAACCACTTCTGAATTTGTCTGTTGGCTCTGGCAATTAATCTCATCATGTTCTTTTGATGTTTAATGGATAAAAACAGGTCATAATTAAAAACATATACAGAGGTGTGTGACAAGAGGAGTGAAAAAATCTATTTTTATTTTTATAAAATAAAGATAAAGATGAGAAACAAAATATATTAGACCGAGAGAGAGATAAAGATGAGAAACAAACTATATTAGACTGAGAGAGAGAGTAGCATCAAAAGGTCTTATTATGCAAATGTTAAACATGCATAAACCGAGTTGGAAAAATGGAGAAACAACAGGGTTTAGTGTGGAGGTGTACCAAGTTAACAGTGCAATGGGAGTCTTGTTGTTTTTTTCTCCCAAAGGCTACAGTGAGGGAATATAGATAATCCAATTACAAAGATAGTGAAGACTGTTTGTGCATGACTCTCAATAGCACTGGAATGCTTCAGGTTAAACCGAAAAATTTAAGCAGTACATTATAGTGTTACCTGCCGAATGTGTAGCGTCATGCCAGAAGTATTCACCAATGACTGGAAAAAGTGTTCCACCAACTAAACAGAGACATTTAAAATTAATCACGAATATCCTTAACCAGTTAATCTTAAAAAATGGAAAATTTTGAAAAAAGAACGCATGGAGAAGGATATTCAACGAACAAAATAATAGACCAAGTAAGAAATTCCGAGGTGTGAACTATATCCACATCAAATTCTCGTCTTGAGACTTTGACCGATATCCAAGAGTCGGCAACAGGCAAAAGAGCATGAAATCATTGTACCAAAGTGAAGAAAGTAGATTGGAGCACCTGAGTGTCATATGTTCCAACTCTCTGAGTAGGAATTTGCAAATCATAACCTAAATATGGCCGGCCAGATAGATCCTGGAAGAGAATAAAACTCAATTCAATACAAATATGCATCAGAAACTCAAAAACAGCATGACATGATAGGAAGCTAATTCTTCTTCTTAAGTAAAAACAACTATATGATGCACATGCATAATAATTTGTTGCGACTTCCATGAAGCCTCTGCAACCTCAAACTGTCTAGGTCCATTTCATAACTAAAAAGCATTACGATATTAGAACTGAATCTTTGATATTGCTCTTCTCCACCTTTAAATGAGCAATGCTAAGGCCAAGTCCGTGGTGACACCTGTGCAATACACACCATGCATTTTTCACGTAAGTGTATGAGTCCACATAATCATGCTCCAAGGCACTCAACAAGCATGGTGACATTGCACAGTCATGCCAAACTATGCCTAATATCTCTCTTCCAAACTTTTCCACCCAATCCCACCCTAGTGGCCTCATAATGTCTCAGTCCTTCTCACACATTTAAAAGCATCATAATTATAAAACTAATTCTTGGATGCCATTCTTCTCCATTTTCCAAAACGAGCAATCCTAATCAAAATCACAAGTGATGCGACCATGCCATTTTCACCATGTTTGTTATATATGTGAGAATGATTGTTTGGCTTAGAGGTTAGCTGTAGTGGTACTGGTGTATGCTTTTAGATTGGTGAAGCTTTTCAAGTGGTGGGGAAAAAATAGAGGCGTTTGGTTAATAGCTACATGGTGATATTTAAATGACAACTCCCATGTAGAACTTACCAAGGTAACATGTATTAATGCCTCATCAAGAGGAGCTGAGAAGTCACCAAACCGATTAATTCCTTTCTTATCCCCAAGTGCCTGCAGCAAAGACTGTAGAGAGCCCAAATTTTCACATATTACTTCTAATTTTGCAAAAACATACACTTGTAGGAACAAAAAAAAAAAAAAAAAAGAGTTTGACACTAGCAAAAGCATTCTACAATTACAAGATTCAAAATAAAAAAACTAAGTAGCAAGAACAAAAATAAACAATATATAACGTGCAATACCAAAAATAAATTAAAAAAAAGAGAGAGAGAAAAGATAATAGATATTTCATAGTTACATACAGTTCCAATAGCAAGTGCAACATCTTCGTTAGTGTGATGATCATCAATGTGAATATCGCCAGTTCCCCTCACATGCACATCAAAAAGCCCATGCGAAGAAAGTTGCTAAACCAACAAAATAATTAGAGAGCATAACACCTCACAGTAACCAAAAAGTATACTAATAAATCCAAATTGATTGAAGGAAAAAAAATCACTCACATCCAACATGTGATCGAGAAACGGAATGCCAGTAGTAGAATCAGCAATTCCAGTACCATCCAAGTTAATCTTGACGGACACATTCGTCTCTTTAGTAACTCTCTTCACTTCCCCAATCCGAGCGCTTGCTGAAAACCAAACGAAAAGAAAACAAAATCAAAATTTGCAAAATATTGCGGAAAGAAACTGAAATTACATTTAATAAAGAGAAAGATTTGTACCGGATTCGATGGGAGAAGAGGTTGTTAGAGAGGAACCGTTGGCCTGAACTGGAGTGGCAAGTGGTTTTGTGGTTGTAGTGTGGGAGTCCATTAGTAAAGGAGCTGGAGAGAAGATTGGGTTTGGATGGCGCATGCGCGCGGGCACCAGATTTGTGCGAGAGATTGTGAGTCTTGGTTTTGTTAGGGAACAAGGAGTGGAGGTGCGACTTAGTAGACGAGAAGAGACTGGGACCTCCATGTCTTCGTTTCTATGGGGATTGCAAAGGTTAAGAGCTGCGCTTTTCCCTGTACTTGTTAACGCTCCCTGGTATTACAAAACGCCACGCACAAGTTGGGGTCAGAGAAAATTAACCGTAACGCCGTCGTTATAATCGTTCTAATCGTTCTCTTATTCTTATTCTTATTACTATTGCTTTTCTTTTCATGGAAACCAACAAAAAGGAGTAGTTCTTATCAGCTCAAATTAAAAATAAAAAATAAAAACTCTTAATAGACTGATTAAGAATTAAATTAACTGACTGCCTCATTAATAGATTGGTCTATTTATTTGAGAAAGTACATCGTCCACACGGTTTCCAAATCTTTTTATATTAAGGGGAATGCTTAGTTTTGAGGGGGAAAAAAAGGTTAAATGTTCAGTTAAGTAAGACTGAATATTTTACGAACTGCTCTTGTAAGGAAAGTAGAGCATTCCACTGCCCACTTTCCTATCAACCAAAAAACCAGAGAATTCCACTGCCAGTTTCATATTTTAATTTGGACATTTTTCAAGCAAAAACAATCTGACCAGATCCAGAAGGAGCAGCACTACATCAGATGGCTGACTGAAAACAAACCTCGGAAAGTTCGGTTTCTACAATGATGTTTTTCAAATTTAATGGAGAAGAGCAAATTGCAACTGAAATAAATTTTAGGAATAAAGAGCAGGCACAGTGTCAGTGTGTGTGTGGGGGGTTGGGTTTGGGAACCAAAAAAAAAAAAAAAAAAAAAGGCAAGTTATAATTACATGAAAAATAGAATTCAAAATCTTTCTCCAACTGCCTACGTCATGTGACAAGGTTAACTAACATACATGATGGGATGTTGCCACATAAAAATGAAATAATACAGGACTCGTGAAGGAACTCTGAACTCGGATATCGGCGGATTCAGATATATACACACTGCATTGATTGAAAATGTCGGTCATCTACACTTGACACATCTCCAAAGATCTGCCGTCCAGCCTCCATTCCCTACATTTTACAACAGTAGATTCTCCTCTAGCATCAAGCAGATATGGCACAAGATAATTCCATCAAGTGATCAAATTGAAACTCTTGGTATCAAAATTTATCTTGATGCTTGCCAAAGTATAAACCATCTTGAAAATCACACTAAGAAATGGCTTCAGCAGTGATTACTTCTCGGATTTATTCCAAAACACTGCCCTAACAATTAGGAACCGGTTGAAGCATTCCAAGTTGCGTGTGCTAAAGCAGGAATGCAGAGGAAGTGAAACCATCAGATTTAGACAGATTCAGTTTTCCCTTTACTCGGGTCAATCCCAGAACTCTCCTCACGCATATGTGAAGCAACTCCTCCAAAATGTGCTGCATCAGGAACAGCCTCTAGCAGCACATCTAATTTGATTCCCTTCTCATGGAAAATTTCACTATTTGGATCAGTGTCAAGTTGCATGTTATTCTCATCAGCACCACTGAATCTAGAAACTGATATACCTGAAATCTCATTAATCTTCTCGGCAAAGTTTTCTGCAGTTTTCTTCTCTACGGAAGGGACAGCTTCAAGAGTTGCCATATCGACACTTGCCGTAAGAGCATCATCCAAATAACCTTCATTACAAGACATGTTATTGTTTTCAACAGAGGAATCTGATACGGGCTTAGTTTCCATCTTCAATGTTAGTTTCACAAACTTGTCCTCTGATTGAGAAGCACATTCACTCTCTTCAACCAATTTTGAAGTTGTAAGCTCCTCAGAAACAGACACATCCAGATTTAACGCATTGACATGATTGACTTCACCTTCTCTACAAGATTGGTCTTCGTCTTTAGCAGGAGAAACCATTTCTAATTTTTTTCCTCTTGCCTGTCACCAGTCACATCCAAGATCATTGAAGAAGCAGACTCACGTATCTTGCCACCTGATTCAGAATCAGTACATGAAGTCCCATCAAAAGGAACTGCATTATTAAGTTCACAAGAGGCATCTAAAGAACCGTTCATCATGGAGGCATCGTCCAAGGAAGCACCTGGGATTTGGGTATCTGAATCCATAGCTACTGTTTCTCCCTTGCTACAAGTCTCGGAGATATCTTCAACAGGAGAATTTGATTTGGATTTAACCATCTCAGGTACATCATGAGTTGTCTTGGAGATGCATTCACTTTTCTTATCCACAAAAGATTCAGCCAACTTGTCTTCTGATTCAGAATCTGTCTGTAAGGTCTCCTTAAGTGACGCTGCACTTTGCAGTCCATAAGATGCATCTAAAGAATTATTCATTGTAGAGACATCGTTCAAGGAAATGTCAGGGCATTGGGAATCAGAACTTGGACTAGCCACTTCATATTTCCCAATGGAACGTTTCAAACTACCATTGTCACAATTACGAGGCTCATGCTCAGATGGAGAATCTGCATCAGATTTATTTGCTAATTCAGTTTTAAGACATTCACTGTCTTCAAACTCCATCTGATTTGCACCTGTTAAAAGAACTTCAGATTTATAAAACAGGACATTAACGTAAAGTTAAAGAGAGAAAATTCAACAAAGCATATGACAAAAACCTATGCTGGTAATCCTCTTTCCATCAATATTTTCTTGCCCTAGCTGCTTCTGTAACATGTCTATACCAGGGAACACCAACATATTCATAGACTTCAATTCTTGCTTGAGTGATTCATCAAGAGTAGTGAAACCAAAAACCTCTGTCCATGTATGCATTAGTTCAGAAATTGCAGGAATAATCAGTTTCTCAACCTTCAGAGAGCAGAGTGTCTGAGAGGACAAGATAAAATATATAAGATATATGGACAGATAGCAGGAAAAAAACAAACTTAAGGCAAGGCAAATAATTCCTGTAGTTCTTCCTTACCGATTCAATAGCATAAAAAAGCCGACGGCACATCCCTTGACGCCTATACATATGACGAGTCCCAATGAATGGCATTTCTGCCAACTGAGTTCCATGGAACCTAACCAAGCACAGGCAGTGTAATTATCAGAATTCAACTGCAGGAAAACCTACCCTCAAACACACATATACATACCCAAGTTGTATTCAAACTGAAAAGGAAGTCCTCCATACCAAAGACTGACTTAATAACCCACACAGGTAATTACCACAGGTAAATGACAGAGGAACCAAAAATGTATGGACAAATAAACACACAGTTATCTATAACAAAGAAATCAATGAAAGACGATTGCCAGTTTCAAGAAGAGAATGCCTCCTGCATAACATGTGAATTTCATTTTTCCTCACAAGAAAATCTGATTCCCGACATTGAACTCACTTTATAACAGAATCTAGAAAATTCAATTCAGAAGTTAGAAATTGTACTAGGAGTAGCAAACAAATGACCATAAATTTCACACCTGATGGATGCTGCACAAATTATTTCATCACCCCTCTCCAGAATAACAGCATAAAAGCCACCAAAATTCAGCCGGTAAAAGTTTGATCTGAAAAAATAATGACAATTAATGAATGACAGCAAGATTAAGAAAACATCTTATAAAAAAAAAAAAAAAAAACATGCAACTTGTCAAAACAAAGTGTCTGGGCAGATAAACTTCAAAAAAAAAAAAAAAAATCCAAGTTAACCATATGTCTATAGGATGCTCAACAATTCATGCACTCAACATATTTATTCATGGAGTCATGGAGTCATGTAGTCATGATCCTGATGGATGAACAGAAAAGAAAAATAAGGCTCATAAAAAATCCAAGTAATTAAGAACTTGAACAATCAGCAAAGCTCTAACAACCTCTCAGGGGAAAAAAAGAAAGAAAGAAAGAAAAGAAAGGCTAACTCCTGCAGGCAGACTGATAACAATATGCAGAGATATTTGCACCACAAACTAAACAAAGGTAATGGGTCACAAAGAGTAGTCTAAAATTAATGCATTGCCATTAAACCAGACATAAGATCACATACAAGTTGGCCCCCAATTTGAGAGAATGGTGTTATGATGGCTAGACCATGCACAACAATTGAAATAAGTCGTGGTTTTTTAATTGGTAAATAACATACGTAGATTATTCATGCAAGGAGCCCTCCTCTTGATTCTCTCTTCTATGAGAGCTGCATAGAGACAGAGAGAAAGACAAGGAAGCTTATCTATTTCATTGGCCACTCTCCTGTCTCTTCAGCTAATTAAGGAAGGGTATAGCATATCCCCTAGCCACTACTGATAACTCTAGTCTAGCACTGCAATCTCTGGACTGCTCGATTTCATTATAGGAGCATGAACTTTCCACCTCTAATAATATCACTCGAGGATATCACTCGGGGCATGTGATAGAGTTGACGCACTGCAACAGCATTAATCCAGCGATGCAAAGGCAATTAAAGCTGCTAAGAAAGATTTCAAATTCTCATGTCCCCTCCCCTCCTTTTTTCTTATTAGTAGCAGTAGCTTGCTTTCTTTTTGCCAGCCCCCTTATTACCCTCACGAGAAAGTTACAGGTGCCTAAGAAGTCTGTGCAGTCCTTTTAACGATCTATTCTTAGACTGCAAACTCTTGCACAAGATTTTTAACATAATTCAGAATATTAGGCAACTTCTTGCCAGTTCATAACTCCATCTGGTTGTCTTGGGTTATAACAAACCATGTGACATGATAATAAGACTAGACAAATATTTAGATGCCCTGGTGAGTAAGAGAGAGACTGCAATGAAGTCCAAGAGACAAAAAGGTCAAGGCGTAGGTTGAAAGTGGCTTCGATTGAAGACAAAAGAATTCTGATTTATTAAGACGATTCAAAATAGAGAGCAATGAAAGAAAAGGATTGATATAACAGCCACCAGCTACTGGGATCAGTCTTACAAAGAGCCCAATGGTGAGCCCAAGTTTATAGGCTTGAATGTTTTTCTGTGGAAGTTAAAACTAGGTCGAAGTCCAATTCGACTAGTTTGTATGCATGCATCTTCCCAAGCAAATTTCAGCTTGTACTGATAAGACAACACACAGATTCAATTCTTTTTAAGTTTGTTTAGAAGTTGCTTTGCTCCAGGTTGAATTGAGTGAGCTTGGGCAACCAAAAACACCAAACAATCAAGCCAAAGAAGCTCCATGAAAAATCCTCTACAGCAGACATGCAAGAAGTTCGAAGCTGAGCCATTACTGGTCTAAGCTTAGCAAATTACCACCTCATATAAAGGTGCATCCGCTGTCCATTCTATGCAAAAAGTGTACAGTCTGAATGTGCAAGGGAGTTCAATCTCTCATTGACATACACATACTTCTTCCTAACTGTTGCCGATGCAAATACACTAAACACTTCACACGATAATATATAAAAGTATAGTAACTCCATCGAAAAAATTGTTGCAGATAGTACATAATAGCTACATAATATGAGAACTAAGCATTCATATCCACAAAGCTATGTACATGTTCCATGAAAAAACAAACTTAACACGTAAATCAACTTCATCTTAAACTAGAAGATAACTGTAACAAAATCCAAAACACTGCATTCAACAAAAACCGTCCCTCAAGACCAAACCAGTTGTCAGTAATTATGCACAAACAAGTTATCTGAGTTTCTAGTACTTTTTACCCAAAAATGCCTCATGCATGCATGCTCACAAATGTATGCAATCATATATGCCACCAAATTCCATAAAAGTAGGATGTCTAACAATGTTCATCCCATGTCATTCGAGAATTGAGAATGCTTACCCACAGTTGTAGAGAACATTCTCAATTAAATTGATCCCACTCCTCCGATCAACAATTGGCAAAAAGCACTCATCCATGACAGACAGAGAAACAGCCAGCTTTGAATTGCACTCCACCCTTTGAGGAAGTCCTTGGAGAGAGGTGTCTGAATCCACATCTGTTCTATGAATTAGAGACCAAGAAAACCCTGCTTCTAGTTCATGTTTAACACCAAGATATTTTTGCAACTGCTCAAAAAGCTGTACAAGCAATAAAAGGATTCATCAATAAAGTGCATCTTAATACAACAATATCGATGAAAACAAGGTAGCAAGGAACAACCAATAAGAGAAAAGAATCTGTCACCAACTAACAAAACCAGATCTATTTTATGGAAGCAAAACCAATTAAAAAGTTCCTGTATCAGATGTCCCTAGATCTAAGATCTTCAAATGTCTCAAATTCTATGAAGCTACAAAAAGAAAAGGGTTTCTGCTTTTCAGACTCCAATGAGTAATGCTTCCATAAAACCATTTTTTAAAGATTTTACTTAAAATCTGTAATTTCATGTGCACCAGAAGCTAATTTCCGATAATAAAAAATGCTCTAGACCACCATGGAGTTGCAAGGCAGTATGCTATGAATACTGAATTACCAAAACCAAATCCGGCATATCTATCAATAATATGCATGATGCAAAATTTCCAGAAGGCCTTTCAGGAAATCATGTTTTATACACCACCAAAAAGGCTGTCATGATGATACAAAAAACGACTTGTTATCCTTCCAAACAGACAAAGCAAAGGGAACAGGATTTTAAAAATAAAAACTCAATAGCTTACTGATTTTGCATTGATATTAACCAATGCCTTGATAGAGCTGCTGAAATAGTGAAGCCAAAAATCTTAAACTCATAAAATTACCAGCTACTATTGATTTGCAAAGCTGAAAAACCTAATAATCCTTAACCTTTAAAAAATCATGAAATTAAATCGTCAAAATCCTGGAGATTGCTGAAAAAGATTGCTAAAATTCAGCAAACCCCTGAAATATTACCTCTCTGCATTTCTTCCCACAAAAGCTAGTGACTGAACTATTGGTATCAATGGAAAGAGTGTCAATCTCCTGCATGCAAGATATGTGATCTACAAAGAAGTGGAAAGTTTAATGTCAATGAAAACAAAACAACAAAAAGGCAAACAAAGAAAACCATATAAACAGATAGATGTCAAACCAAAGAAAAGGACAAATACATTTTTTTGCACACAGACTACACGTGAGAAGCTTGGAGACAGCTTTATCATCTGCCCGAACATTTTTATCACTCGCTGCCCCACAAAATTTGCAGGTACAGTTTGGACAGTGCCAATCCCCTGGGGGAAGCATCTGCAGTGAGAAGACAATTATAAGTGTGATGAGTGATAAGATCGAAAAAATTTAACGGAAATAAAAAAAAGCTACTAAGCACAATATTAAAACAAAAAAGCTAGTGTCACCATTAAATCCCTGTGTTATTAGCAAGCCGGATTAAACTCGCTCCCCTACTTTGAAGGCAAAAGTTGCAGCAAACACAGAACTATGAAGCTAAATGTTGTATGAATGGCTTGTTCAGAGAATCATTCAGTGTGCATAGTAAATCAGGCTTATCATTCATTATGAGCAACTATTTTTCCAGTACCCAACCATTTAGTAACATGGTTTACAATTGCTAGGATTGCCCCAAATGAGCCATCAAAATGGCTGGTGCAAATTCAACCAGTCTCACAAGTAAGTGACAGATCTCTGACCGGGTTGTGAGATAGCAAATAGGTGGATCTTCTTAAATGCCATCATTCTTGGTAAAAGTGAGATATTCCGTCAATGAAATTACAAATCCAAACATCTGTAAAGTTCATACTAATAGAAAACACACACACATATATATATATATATATCATTATTCTTTCTGCACATCCCAACTATAACCAATAGGATGTGGAGGAGCTAGGGGTCTTCACATGATTTCAAGAGGGCCATTTCTGGGTGCACAACCACTGAGGATACTCGAGCGTTCTGACCATAATAGTTGGCAAAAGAATGAGCCTAAACCAAAAACAAAAGAACTGATGCTGCCAGTATAATTATATCCAACTCCAGTCATTTACATTCCCCCATCCCTCCCTTTCCATACAAATCAAAACTACGGGATGAAAAACGAGGCCACAAGGGAATATGGAGAAAACAGAAAGACAAATGTAATCACAAAGTCAAGTAAAGAATGAGCCAACATTGCCAAAATAATGTACACGTACCTTTATATCTAAGCAGCTCTGATGAAATGTTGAAGGACAGCCATCACAACATATCAAATCCCCACCATCTCCACAGAGGCCACATGTATCATCATTTGGATCGCTACCATCAACGTCCACAGCTTGAAAACCAAGGCGTTTAACTGACTCCTGCCTATTCATTGCTTCAATCTGGCAGTCCAAAAGAGAAACACCAGATTCTAGATATATATTTTGAAATGGCTGGCGCAGTTTGCTTCCTGCATGGATCTCAAACTTTGAAACTGTGAGGATTTTGCTACAGCAACCACAATGAATTCCATCTCTTGTAACCCACCCTTCCAGCATTACTTTTGTTCGTCGACGATTCATGTAGCGCACCTTTTCACTCAACTGCACAGTTCCACAGTCAATCAACCAAGAAAGGAGCGTCCGCTTTCCAGTATATGGAACAAAACCATCACTATCCGAGTTTGTACCCTCATTAGAGTTTCGTACCAATAAAGTACATCTGCCGAGTTTTCTACTTTTTCTTCCCTGATGAGAATTGGACCCAGATGATGGTTTCTCAATGCTGTCATGTAAATGATGTGTGGAACTCTCACCTTTTGAGTTTATACCGACAGAACCATTGCCACTTATTCTGCTCTTCAATGACTTACCGCCATGCTTTAGAAAGGAACTTAGTTTCTCTTCACGGCTACCACTGTCCAGGCTCTCTTCATCATACCTGATACTTGAAGACTTTCTTGTAGCAGTTTCTCTTGCATCCTCACTCTCGCTGGCTTCTCTTTTCTTCCTTTTCATTTCTTTCTCAATCTTCTTTTTTGTCTTCCTTGTTAGTTGACTGAGCACCTCGTCTGACAAAGGTGTAAATGGAGAACCATCAGCCCTGGATCTTGCCTCATCCTCTTCTAATTGCTTTAGAAGTGCATCATATGCCTTGATGATGGACCAGTAAGCTGTCCCAGTAGGATTTATATAAACTGCATCCAGGTAGTCTCTGTTCCTTCTAGGCCTGTAGTCTATTGTCCAGCCTGAATTCAGAAGCATCTCCCGTATACGTTCGCGCAACTTCTGTTTTTCTGTGCCACTACCTCGCTTAACTTTCCCTTCTTTGATTCTAGCTTCTGGGAGTTGGCTGTAAGGGGTTTTTTCACCTCCACTACTTGTCCCCTTCACAGATTTACGAGCCCCCACATTCTTTTGTCCCAGCTTTAAAGATGTCTCACTGTCATCAGAATCCATATCACGGTCCTTGCTTTTCTTCGTTGACAATGGTGTCTTCATAAGATTAAGAGCTTCCACTTTCTTAGGCCCCAACTTCAACAATGTCTCACTGTCTTCTGAATCCCCATCACTGACTTTACCATTCTTAGTTGGCACCGATTTCTTCATATTCATCTCATTCTTCTCTGTCCTAGAAACTGAACCAGCTTTGTCAACAATTTTAGGATCAGAGTAGACTGGAGGACGGATTAGAACATTCCTCTTGACAGTATCTGCTGTTCTCACACCCTTTCTGTTTTCCTCAGCTTCCAAACGATCATAACTATTCAAAGGCCCACCGACCTTCTTTTTCTTGTTGACCATCACCTTTAAAACACCATTTTTCCCCTGAACCCTAATGGGTTCATCAGATTCATAATTATCCCTAAAAAATGACATGGATGACCGATCTCCACCTCTGTCTCCTCCCTGACTTAACCCACCTGACCTCTCAAAATACGAACTCTTTCTTCTATCTACAACAGCATGCCTACTGGACCCTGACTCGTATTTCCTCGCAATGCCACTTCTCCCTGCCATCATCGACCCAAAATACCTCCTTCCTTCCATTCCACCATCATCAAACTGCTGCCTCCTCAACATTTCCACATCATTCCCATCATACTCATCAAACTCAAACACATCCAACTTATTCCTCTTCCTTTCACCCAAATCCTCCCCATTCCTGCCAATCAAACCAACCTCATTACGCCTAATACTCTCCCCCTGCTTCTCTTCCTACCAATATCTCTCTCTTCATAACCACTCAAACCATTGCACACCCTCAATGTTTCAGGACCTACCCTTCTACGCGGTGGCATTAACAACTCATCGCTAGACCCTGAATCACTATATTCTACCCTGAGCCTCCTTTTCTCTTTCTTTGACTCAAAAACCTTATGTGAACCAGAAGACCCCACTCCTCCCGCACCATCATTGCCTTTCTTTCTCACAATCAAACAACCTGAAGAGCTCCTATTCTTCATTATATACCCAGATGGGTCACCAGATCTCCTTCCCTCTTCCATAACCACGACAGAAGCTAACACCCAAAAACCCTAACCTTTCAAAATTCCCTTGAAAATCATCCCTAAGATGTAAAATATTTTAGATAGAAACAGATTTTATAACCCTAATCTCTCCCAAATCACAATATCAAAGCAAAACCCACCAGATCTGATGCCAAGAACTACAGAAAGAAACTGAGAATTTAGGTTTTTTAAAGTTATTATCAAGACAAAGAACAGTAGTACCTTGCCGGATTCTATTAACGGAAATTTAACGGCGGTGCATCACCAATTGATGACGTAACTTTCCGTGAAGAGAGCAAGAGACCGGGAGAGATTTTAATGTTGTCCTTTTTTTTTTTTTTCTTTTTTTTGGTTTTCTAGGAATAGCCTGCTTAACAATGTAAGCTAAAAAGCCATTAGCTTCTCTCTCTGCCACCGTTATGTTATTTCTTATTATTATTATTATTATTTTCCTTCTCTTTTTGTGTCTACGTTTCTGTTTGTTGCGTGTATAATTATTTTCCAGTTTTCCCTCCTATTCTTCACTACCGCTCCGATTTTGCCAAGTGGAATGGGGCCTGATGTTGTTACTACGTGGCAGGATCAGAGTGGGTTGACTGCAGTTGGTGGTTCTGTCGCTAATGACGTGCGGTAGAATTGCGAGGCTGAGCGCGTGGGGAGTGGAAAAGACGACCGTATCTTGGGTGGATTTTAGGTGGAGAGAAACTGGGTTGTTTGTTCCCATTGATGAGATCAGGTGGTTCTGGGTTTAATGAACTGTTTTAGTAAAAACTAGGCTTTTGCTACTTATACCTCCCTGCATTATTTTCCTCCTGATTTTAGTGGAATATTACCCTCCTAGTTCATTTCATTCATTTCCATCGACTTAACGGGCACCCAAAAAATAACCGTACTGTAAGAAACCGCTCCCTAAACCATTTTTACTGTTATTTCGCCTTTCAAAGGTTTGACCACAACCATTGTACATGATGTATTTTCTACACCGTTGTATTATACATGTACAAGTGAATTCGAATTTAGGAAGAGATTTCGGAAAAAAAAAATTGCCACTATAGTCTGTCTAAGCCTTGATTTGCAATACTACGTAAAAACTAGTTTCAGAATGCTTTGAACCTTAAAAAAAAAAAAAAACACACTATGGCCTGTATGAACTTCCGAATTTATCTTGCTCCATTTTTTCATAATTTTCCTACAGTTTTTGGCTAAGAGTTAAAACCAAACGTTTTATTTTGAGAGTTTAAGGACATTTCCTAAGGTTAGAAAATTTTAGGAACAGCTGATAACGACTAGTGCATAATCGATGCCCCCAATAAGGCTGAGCAGCAGCGGGTGTCAAAAATCTGGAATGGCCGGCAATATTTTGTGACGGATACGTTCTTAATGGTTGAGCTACAATCGAATGCATCCACGTCAAACAGGTGCTTTTGTTAATCGTTAATGACGTAATTCTTGACGTTTGTAAATTGTACCATTGGATAGTCTCGTTCCATCCCCAGTCAAAATAAAGGGCTTTCCCTCGCAGCTTTTTCATGTCGAGCCTCATCAACCCTGTTAATCTGACAAAACCTCACGACAACTTGTTAAGAACAAAAAAGAACATCAAAGGCCAGTTTCTCTCAATGAGCATAGATGATATTTAAACCAATCTATGAGAAATATTCTAGATTGGATCATGGATAATGATTAATTAATCTAGCAGCATGTGATGTAACTAGAAACTATTGTAATAGAATCCTTTCGGTGTTTTTGGTTGGCCAATTAACCTACGTTTGTGTGTGATTTATGCGGCCTTGCTAAATTGCGAAGCTATGGCATCATCGGTACTTAACGTGTCAGCAGTCGAATTATCAAGAAGTCGTGCCTATGATCCAAGTAGAAATGTGCCTTAAGTGATCGGCTCTGCAATCAAATATTGCGTATGATTGCGGTTTGCCCAGAATGTCGTCTTCCTAAATCTATAGTTATTCCAATTTCCAGCCACAACTGCCACGTTAAAACCCTGTTTGATAACGCTATTTCAATATATTAGTGTAAAAACATCAACATAACATTTTTCAAAACGCATTTTATTAAAATATAATATAAATTATATCATAAGACTTCACTTAACGAGTTAAGGCTTTTGAATGAGATGATCCTTCGATATGATATTAGAGTCTTACCTGACCTAATGATCAAGACTTCGAATAGTAAATATAATAGTTTTTAGATAAGATGATCCCTTGACGTTTTGATATATCAAATCTAGTAAAAAAAACACCTCAAAATACATCAATTAAAATCCAAATTAATAGTTGCAAGGCTCCTCTACTCTTTTTGCTTTTTGTTTCCATCATGTTCTTTTTTCTTATTTTCTTTTTTTGTTGTCTTAAATTAATCACATCATGTTTATACCTCCATTAACTTTTTGAACTAACAATGTTAAATTACACCATTAATTCCATAAAATTGTGATATGTGTCAGCCTTATTTTTTATCATTACATAAACATCTAAAGATAAAAAAAACTTTTTTAACTCAAAATATCCATTATAAATTTACATTTATCTCCAAAATAGTAAAGCAAAATATATAAAATAAATTACTTTTTAAATAATTTTTATAATTTCATATTATCTAAAAAAAAATCTATTATAATTCATTCATTTATTTAAAACTTTCTTAATGATTCAAAAGTGAAAACATAAATTCTGTTATTTTTAATCTTTTAAACTGTATTTATAATCTTTTAAACTTTTGAATAATATTTAGTCTTTCAACCACTTTTAGGTGAATATTCCCCAAAAAAAAATAATAAAAATAAAAAATAAAAAAATCTTGACAAAATTTATACTTCTACTTTTAAGTCAAATTTAAAAAATTGTAAAATGAAAATAAATAAATTATAATATTCTCTTTTGAAGTATTATAAATACCTTTTATAAATTTAAAAACTTAACTAAAACCATCTTGATATTTTTTAAAAAATACTACTAATAATTCATTTCATACTTTAAAAATAAATTTAAATCTATAAATAATATTTTAATTGAAAAAAATTATCATCACTTTTTCTTAACTAAAAAGATGTGTAGAGGAACAAGATTAAGACTTCTATGAAACTAATGGCACGATTGAACACCATTAGTTCAAAAAACTAAGGAAAAGACAAACCTAAGGTAAAAACCAAACATAAAAATAGCTAAAAAAACAAAGAGATACAATCAAGACAAAAACAAGGAGTTAAAAGATCCAATACTCCCTGCAACTATTGGCCCATTAACATTCCAAACCATCCACATGCACTGCATAAACAACACACACAAGGAGGTAATGGACACTCGTATTCAGCATGCAGCAGCGATGCGATTCAGCAGCATCACGAGGCAACACGTTAGTGTCCAAACCATCCACGTTGGCACCAGGTTACTTCAGAATAGAATTTCACGTCCATGACATGACCCCTTTTACTTTGAGAGAAATCGACACAACGGGAGCCAAATCAGCTCCACGAAATCAACATTCATTGCAGTAAATTTGAGGACGGGAACAACAAATAATGTAGTTTGGAAAAGAAAACATCCACAATCCTAGATGGAGCGCAAGTGTTCCGAAATATTAAAGAGTTAAGAGAGAATAAAATGCATCAGTAACATCAGAACCACACCAAAGCAGAGACCACAGTGCAAAATTGTCACAATTGCCTTCAACAAATTGTTCCTCAAATATTAAACCTTCTATAGCCACATGTTCAGTCAGCTGGCAAACACAAGTAAAAGCATCTCAAAACAAAAACTTAACAAAACTTCATTGGAGGATTCATAGATAAAATGCGAGAAGTGAACCACCAGGTTCCCAGTCGTATTACTGTGACAGGTAGCTAACTCACTTAGATCTCATTTCTTCTTTGCAGCATCTCCAGCCTTAGTCTGCACATAGAAGAAACATGTTGAGGATCACCAGTTTGGATATGGTGGCTAAGAAAAATCTAACAATAAGGAATGATATTGCCAAAGAAAACTTCTCCAGTACCTTCTTTACACCACGAACTTTCTTGGCCCTGTTCTTCCTTTCCTTTAGCTGTTTCCTTGATTTTTCCACCTTGGTGGCTAGACCATTCTATCATCCGAACAAGCAATTATTCAGTATAATAACAAGAATGAAAACCCAGGCGGTATAGTACTCAGTGCACACCGACAAAACCATGTTAAATGCAGATGTTTATTAAGTTAATCTAGCCAAATAAAAGCAGACATAGTAATTCTAGCAAATACAGAAGAGCTGTAATCAAATATTGAATCAGCATTGTCTGAACATAATCAAAATTCTTCATTTGGCATGTGAGATTTTGAATGCTTTTGTGAGACAAGACTAAAAAAAGAATAAAAAAGGCAGTTGACATCTTCATACAGCAACTTTTCAATAGCAACTTCCACTGCATTGACAAAAATAAATTATTCCTTCACCTTGAATGGTTTTTAGTGCTAGTAAACTGGCTATTCCTCATGATTGGTATAGAATCAATTCAGTCATGGTGATCTTTAGAAAAATGTGCTTAAACAAAATGCCGCAAGCAAATTTTGAATATGAGTCATCTACTTGAACATAATCAAAATCCTTGATATGGCATGTTTCAGATGCATCTAGCATCTCCATGCAACAGTTTGCCAATTTTAGCTATAACCTAAGCTCTGCACTCCCCAGCTCAGCAACATAAAGAAACAGGAGAAAATCTGTACATGAGAGACAACTTTCCAAAAGTTGACAAGTTAATGATCCAACTAGCAAGCATAGCAGCTAACTTCTATACTCTTTCCATTAGGTGAACACTAGACGAGTACGTAGAATGAAACTTATCCTAAACTCCTCTAACCATCTTCTCATTTGAACTTCATGCTACACTAGGATCACAAATGGACTTGCACTTCTGCATGAAAAAATGAAGACAATATTCTCCATGAATACCGCGCAAAAGGGTATGGAGAGAATTAATAAATATGTGCCTTAGAAAAACAATTATAGGCTCGGGATTCTAGTTTGATGTTGAGAGAAATTGAAAGGTGAGTTTTAAGTTATTGGCTTGAAAATTCTCTGGCTACTTGTATCCATACGACATGGATATAAAGAAGAATTGATTTCCCCGAAGTGCTTAGAAGACTGAGGAGGGACTGTTGAAGCCAAGATTATTGCTGAATAAATTGAGTAGCTTGGATCATGAAAAGGCTCTGATACGTTAACAGTTTAAAAAGCATAGTTTAGGGTTGAGGCCATGTCTATCCTACACTAGATTTTGTTCTTTGTTTGCTCAACGAGTAGGCTACTAGATTTTGTTCTTTGTTTGCTCAACGAGTAGGCTACTAGATTTTGTTCTTTGTTTGCTCAACGAGTAGGCTACTAGCATATGATTGTATTGCTAATCTGAATTAACAGAATATGTTCTTTCACTCAGAGAAACAAATCTAAAGCTACTAGAAACCAATCAGTCCACATAATCAGAAATCAAGCAAAAGGTTAAATAATGCAGATTAATTGCTTCTAATCAAACAATGCAGGAAAGTCTACCAGCTATCATCTTCATTCACTCTTTCATTCAAAACAAAATATTAGTCTAACAAACATATTAACTGTTAAGCATAAGCATAGCAGCGGCATAGAGATGATTCGAACACCAACATAGGAAGTGTATTAGAAGTCTACCAAACTCAAGAACTAGGCATTCAACAAATGCAAAAAAAATGCAAAACATAAGCCTTGACTACAAAGCCGTTGGCATCTTGATAGAAAAGATCTCATGTATGCAAGCAACAATCATTCTAAAACAAGAACGAGGGAATAAATCAGGTTGGCAGTTACCCTGATGAGCCTGTACTTTGGCTCGTACTTCTTGGCGCTATCAACAGAGTCATAAATCAGCCCAAACCCAGTTGATTTCCCACCTCCAAAATGAGTACGGAACTTGAACACAAAAATCGAATTCGGGTCTTTCACTTCATATAAACTTGCCAACTTCTCCTTCAATTCGGCCTTCAAAAAATCCCATTATCAGATACGAAAAAAAAAACAGATAGCAAAAAATGAAAGAAAACTAACTATATACCTTAGAAACATTAGCTCTCCCGGGATGCAAAACATCAATGACCTGTTTCAAAAACCATAATTAGATTCTTAGCCTGCATTATCTTAGAAACCAAAAAGACCTTAAAAAAATCAAAAAACAGAGAAAGAAAGAAAGAAAACCGAAGAAATAGAACTCACAAATTGCTTCCTTGAAAGAAGCCTGTTTGTCATAAACTTTCTTGTTCTAATAGTCACAGCCTTGTCTGCCATGGTTGTCTGTAACTTCTAGGCTTCTTCTCCCCGTAACGATAATAGGCTATGATTTTGAGCGAGGCTGCGTTGGGCACGAGTGGAAGGTGAAGGTATTCTTATTAGGGTTTTATGCAGTAACAGTGAAGCAGTTTGGGCTCTGTTTGGCTCTCGAGGATTGTATGCTCTAGTGAGTGATTTGAACAATCCGGCTCCAGGCCGTGAAATATGATAAAAGAACATGGGCCGGCAAAAAAGACTCGCCTATATAGATACTGGCCTGACTTGAGCTAAAATGTACTTTCTTATTAGGGTTTTATGCAGTAACAGTGAAGCAGTTTGGGCTCTGTTCGGCTCTCGAGGATTGTATGCTCTAGTGAGTGATTTGAACAATCCGGCTCCAGGGCGTGAAATGTGATAACAGAACATGGGCCGGCAAAAAAGACTCGCCTATATAGATACGGGCCTGACTTGAGCTCAAATGTACTTTCTTATTAGGGTTTTATGCAGCAACAGTGAAGCAGTTTGGGCTCCGTTAGGCTCTCGAGTATTGTATGCTCTAGTGAGTTATTTGAACAATCCGGCTCCAGGCCGTGAAATATGATAAAAGAACATGGGCCGGCAAAAAAGACTCGCGTATCTATATACGGGCCTGACTTGAGTTCAAATGTACTTTCCCGTCCATCTACGACAAATTTTAAATATATATATATATATATATATAATCCATGACAATATTAAAAATAGTTAAGAACCAAAAGAATTGACTTTACCTATCTTTCTCATATTAATGTTGTTATTGGATTAAATCTATCTAATGCTTAGTAGGTTTTAGATAATCAATAAAGTATCATATATTCGGTTAACGATTAAATAAGAACGAAAAGAATCAAATTTACCTATCTTTCTCATTTTAATGTTGTTATCCGATTAAATCTATCTAGTGTTTAGTAGATTCTAAAGAATTAATAGGGTATCATATATTCGGTTAAAGATTAAGGAAAGACCGAGGACAATATACATATTGTTGTTTTATGATGAATATTTATGTTTAGGATAAATTAATTATTTAATCGATGATTAGCGACTAAACTAAAAGTGGATATTGAAGTTCAACAAAGGCTTCGTTAATATTGCTATGCTTTATTACTTTCAATTGTTTCCAAGCATTTCAAATTCAAAAAACCCCTCCTTTACACTACAAGAACACTCAAACAAAAGAAACAATCCATTTAGCCTCTTTTCTTGTTGGTTCGACTTTTTCCCGCTCTAACCACAATCCTATAATTGGATTTAATAAAAAAAAATATAAATATCTAATTTGTTGACGATACAATAAGCCATCGGTCATGTATAGTCTATTAGTACTCTTGTATATAGTTGGTATATATTCAAGAATAAATTTACTATGTATGAAATAGTTCATAATGACTTGTCTTGCATGTGTTTATACAAAATACAAGCATGAATTTGTTCTTTTCATATTTTAAACTTGATTCTTCACTATAAGAATAGAGTGTTACGATGTTAACATTTATATATTACTTATAAACTAAAATGCATGGTGGTTTTATTGTTCGAATGAGCGAGTATGAACGAGTAAAACATCACGTGGTACTATTCATTTGAATAGTTTTTTCATTTATTATTATTAACCTTTATACCTTTAACTATTACCTAAAAACCTAAAAAAACTAGGGGTGAGACTGTTCATTTATCGTAGCGGTCCCACCCCCAATTCTTCTAGCGGTTGCCGCGAGTCCCTCCTTTTTTTTTTTTTTCTTTTTACAACATCTAGTTTCCTTTTTTTTTTTCCCTCCTTTTTAGGTTGGGATGTTGGACTTCACGGTAGCATTCCTTTTTTTTTTTTTCAGTTTCTATATTTGTAGGACTATTATTATTATTATAAAATTATTATTATATGATCAAATATATTATTTAGGTCCTTATTTATTAGAAATATATTTTGTTTAAATAATTTTCTTCTTTTTTTTTCAGTTTCTATATTTGTAGGACTATTATTATTATTATTATAAGATTATTATTATATGATCAAATATATTATTTAGGTCCTTATTTATTAGAAATATATTTTGTTTAAATAATAAAATTATTTATAGTTAATAATTATAATATATTATTATTATATTTTACAAAAAATTACGGTGCTTTTTTGTTTTTGTTTTTTTTTTTTTAATGTCCGGCCTCCTTTTTTTTCAATTTTTATATTTGTAGGACTATTATTATATGATCAAATAAATTATTTAGGTCCTTATTTATTAGAAATATATTTTTAAAAAATAATAAAATTATTTGTAGTTGATAATTATAATATATTATCATTATATTTTACAAAAAAATATAAAATATTTATTTGTATTTAAATTGTGAATATTGTATTTATTGTACAATATAATATTTTATTATTATTTTAAATTATGATATAAATAATATATTATTTTATGAATTTGAATATATATAAAAACTAATAATTTTTTAGTAATATAATATCTTGGATAATTATAACATATAATTAAATTAATATTACATTATTAATTATTAGTTAAATATTATTTTAAATATATTGATATAATAATATAATATTTAGTAATAAATTATTTATTTAAACGTCATATGACAATTGTTCCCCTTCTATATAAATAATTTTTTTTTATATTTTTTTTGTCACAAAATTAGGTGTGAAAAATATAAAAAGAGATCGTGTTTTTTTCTTTACGTATAGTTTAATAGTAATAGAATATATATGATTTTTTTTAAATTTTAGTTTGAATATATATATCTGATTCTATTATTTATTATTTAAAATTTATTTCTCTAATTGTTTGTTTCTTATTAAAATTCTCATCGAATTAATTTTTAAATTTTATATAACTTTATTTGTTAATAAATTTGATTTTTGTTATATATGGCTTTTGAAATAAAATTTTAGAACATGATTACTTTATTTTTTAAAAATATATTATTATAATTTATACGATTGATTATTTTTATGATTTTTCAATGAAAATGGCATTGTTGCATATATAAATTCCGATGAGAAAGAGAGCTAAAAGTGTGTTTCAAATAATTTGACTTAATTTTTTTAAAAAATAACAATCGATTAAAAAAATAATTTGGCTTGCTTTTTTTAAAAAAATTAATAATTAGTTAAAAAAATCACAGGTTTTATTTGGTGATATATATAATTCATCGAAACCAAATTTACGGTAGCTTTTATTTAAATCTATTTATTTCGATCTATTCAATGCGATTTAGGTGGATTTTTTTATATTTATTTATTTATTTTATATATCGTAAATCTGCTAAGTACAATATAAAACTAAAAGAATTGAGGTATTTGAACTCGTAAATGAACAGAATCCCAATTCTTTTGTTTTTTTTTTTTTCTCCTAGGTTGACCAGCAGCTAAGGCCTAGCTCTTGGGCACGCACATGCCGAGCTTTTTTTTTTTTTTTCCCTTCACACACACACACACACACACACATATAGGGCTCATGATTGACAAACATATCTTTAGGTTACAATGGCCACGTTGAAATATTTTTTATTTTTTATTTTATTGCAAATTTGTAATGGCTGATAATTTTTTATATAATTTTATTTGTTCATAAATTTTGTTTTTTAATATATGAATTTTGAAATAAAATTTTAAAACATCAATGTTTTATTTTAAAAAAAATATATTATTATAATTTATACAATAAATTATTTTTATATTTTAAAATGAGTATAAATATATATATATATATATATATATATATATATATATATATATATATATATATATATATATGAGAGAGAGAGAGAGAGAGAGAGAGAGAGCTAAAAATATGTTTTAAATAGTTTGACTCAATTTGTTTTTTAAATAATAATGAGTTAAAAAATTCACAAGTTTTATTTATTTTTATATATATATTTATTCAGAATTTATTAGAACTAATTTTGTTGTAGTTTTTATTTTAACGTATTGGCTTCAATATATTTCTATAATTTAGGTGGGTTTTTTTGTATATTTTTTTATTTATTCTATACACTCTCAATCTGTTATGTATGTGTGTGTGTGTATTTTTTTGTTAGAAATTAACTATATAGATTTAATTTATATTAATCACATAAAATAAAACTTTATATTAGTATTATACTATATGAATTGTTAACCCTACATATATAACGGTTATCCGCCCATAACGTAGTGCGAGCATCCAATTAGTAACTATACTACTCAACCTTAGTTTTTCTTTCCCTTCTTTTTTTATTTTTCACTTTTACTTATTTTCTTTTTTTTTAATTATTTCATTTTTCATTTTTTTAATTTTCACCCTTAGTTTTTTCCTTAGGTTTTTTAAAATTTTAAAATTATTTTGTTTTGATCTCTAAAACTTTAAAATAAACATTTTAATCCCTAGCCGATGCATTATATGTCTTCTTTTTTGTTTTTTTTTTCTCATCAATTTATGTTTTTTATTTATTTGATTGAGTGTTAAAATTTTTAAAAGCTGATCATTATTGTTTTTCCATACAAGTCGATGATTTACTTTACCCTCAAACTATACTACTCAATCTTAGTTTTTTTTTCCTTTTTTTAAAAAAAATTTCACTATTACATTTTTCTTATTTCTTTTTTTATTTTTACTCTTATTGTTTAAAATTTATTTATTCAATTATTTGTTTCTTATTAAAATTCTAATCAAATTAATTTTTTGATATAGTTTTATTTGTTAATAAATTTGGATTTTTAATCTATGAATTTTAGGATAAAATTTTAGAACATCGGTGTTTTTTTAAAATATATTATTATAATTTATATAATAATTTATTTTTATGCTTTTTAAATGAGTGTTTTATTTTTTAAAATATATTATTATAATTTATAAATTCTGATTATATATATATATATACAGAGAGAGAGAGAGAGAGAGAGAGAGAGAGGGGGGGGAGGGAGCTAAGAGTATATTTTAAATAGTTTGACTTAATTTTAAAAACAAATGAATAATCGATTAAAAAATTCATAAGTTTTATTTTTTATTATATATATATATATATATTCGAAATTTATCATAATCAATTTTATTGTAGTTTTTTATTTTAATATATTGACTTCAACATATTTTATACAATTTAGCGAGCACTGGTCTTTTTTTCTTCATATATATATTATCATGAAATTAGGTGTTAAAAATATAGAAAATAAATCTTTATTTTTTTTTAGTTTTATGTACAATTTGAAAATGATAGAATATATATGATATTTTTTAAGATTTTAGTTTGAACATATATATCTGATTATATTACTATTATTTTTTAAAGTTTATTTCTTCAATTATTTGTTTCTTATTAAAATTCTCATCAAATTAATTTTTTGATACAATTTTATTTGTTAATAAATTTATTTAATTTATGAATTTTGGAATGAAATTTTAAAACGTTTGAGTTTTATATTTTAAAAAATATCATTATAATTTATAAATTTTGATTATATATATATATATATATATATATATATATATATATATATATATATAGAGAGAGAGAGAGAGAGAGAGAGAGAGAGAGAGAGAGAGAGAGGTATGTTTTAGGTAGTTTGACTCAATTTTTTTTAAAAAATTCACATGTTTTATTTTTTTTTATATTTATTCAGAATTTATCGAATCAATTTTGTTCTTGTTTTTTTTTTTACTTTATTGACTTCAATATATTTCATACAATATATATATATATTAGTTTTATTAGAAATTAAATATATATCCGCACACATAATACCAATTATTTATTATTTATTTTTGATATTCTAAATTTATTTTTTAAAATAAAATAAGTTACATAATTTTTTGAATAGGGGTGTTCGCTATTTGGTAAAAACCGAATAACCGAACCGAATCGCATCGAAATATCAATTTCGGTGTGTTTTTTTTTAGAAACTAAAAAACAAAACGAACCGAAATATAGCCGATTTTTGATTTCGGTTTTGGTTTTTTTTTTAATTCGGTTAAAAAAAAATTTTAAAATTCATCGATGAACAACGTCGTTCATTCCAATCCTCACGCCCTCACCTCACCCTCACGCAAACCTAAGCTAATTGGAGTTAAATTAATTAGCCCATAACCAATTCTTTGTTGCATTGATTACATGAGCCAACTGGCCTAACGTCAAATGACCATAACCAATTCTTGTTTATAATTGCCCAAGGAGCTACATAATTTCTTTCTTGGTTCAATTTATAGTTTTAAAAAAAATATGTGAGATAGTGTTTTTTTTTCCATGTGAAAGAAAACTAGTTAATTTATGGACCTTGATAATAATTAGTATGTTTCTTTTTAGTAAACACATATAATTTAAAATTACACTAAAGAAAGTTGATTGTTTAAAGTTTTAATATTCTTCATTGTTCAAAAACAACATTGTCATTTAATTAGCAAAGGCTAGCTTATGGTTGTAGTGTTTAACAAGTTACCCAAAATTATTAGTTCTAATTACGTCAAGTTAATTAAAAGTGTCTTTCATAAAGACAAATAAGTCGATTATATTTGAGCTTCAAAGCATGCTCGTTTTTTTTAGAATGAATTGTTAAAATGTCTTAATTGTAACACATATTTGACGGTATTATCTATCGATATCGATAGACAATAACATATATTATATATTATATGGTAATGATGACATCTCGTATTATATATATATATATATATATATCAATTGATATAATATTAGTAATGCTTATTGAGGAGTAGTAAAATAATAGTAAATAGACAGAGTTCAATGAGATTGAAAAACATATACATATAGGAACATAGCCTAAAATCACAATGCAAATACTCAATTTATTTTTTCGAAAGTGCATGATCCTTTCAAAAATCAAAAGTATAGATAATTATAGGTGAAAACTGAATTACCGAATAAAAAAATCGATATATTTCAAAACCGAACCGAAAAACCGAATAATAATTTGGTTCAATTTCGGTTATTTTTTTAGACAATTCGGTTAACCGAAAACCGGTCAAAAAAGTTCGAAACCGAATCGAATTACCGAACGAACATCCCTAGTTTTGAAGGAACTTTTCAATTATTAAAATACAAATTTTTATGCTAATAGTATTAAATATTTTGTTGATATATATATATATATATATATATATATATATATATATATATATATATATATATATATATATATATATAACAATTTCGCTCAATATATAAATTCGATTTACATCAATCATCGAAAATAAAATTTTTACTCACAATATACCATAAGAATCATTAATACTATGTATATAAAAGGTGCTTAACCACAACATAGCGGGATATCCATCTAGTACTAACTAAATTAAATCATAATAGTAAAAGTAACGGAAACTTGAGATTGTGTCTGATCTTCTTAAGCTATATAACAGGATCAAAATTGAGTTGCAAAGCTAGGTTTCTGTTCACTGATTGGAAATGCGAAGCTTAGAACTTTCACATATGACACTAATGGGACGCGCGTATTCTGAGTGACAGATATTTAGTGTTGGATGCTCAATTATGTGTTAAAAATGAAGCCGATTCCAAATCAGGTGCGACTAAAACACACACCAGCAAATTTGGCACATTATATGCTTCACAGTCGTACAGCCTTATGTGAACCCACTAAAAAGTCATAGAGTCATAAGTGACAAAATGGGGGTTGGGGTTCAGCATTTTATTGAATGCAGGCTTGTACAAGTGATTATGCACTGCTGTGCTGTGCTGGTAGTAAGGACGCTTCTACTTTTTCCCTTCCTTTATGGGGTTGAATTCTACATGTGAAAGTTAGCTGGGAAGGACGCTTTTAGAAAAGATCGGTAGTGAAGAGTATTAAAGGAATCTGTCTACGTGTTTGCTTAACTTTTTCCCTGCTTCATATGCAGCCACGACAGAAATCTGTAAGTTTACAAAAGCGAAAGTTGAAAGTGATACTTCACTATCAAGCATTGATGACAATAATAGAGTAGGAAAAAGCATGCAGAGATGCAAGAACCTCTCCCTTTCTCCCCTCCACCACTCATTTAAACCAATAGTCTTCTTTTCCAGTAATATTCATCCCCGTATAATCTAAACTATAGTCATCACTAGTTGGCTCTTTTAGATGCGAAGACGGGCTTTGGTTATAATTTAATATCAGCAGTCGAAGCGCCATGCTCCATTCTCCTCCCTTTGGATGGATTTTTCTTTTGAATGGATTCCTGCATCATTAGCTGCTTCGTAGAAGAACATGGAAAACTGAAAAAACTACCATTTGCACTTTAGTGACTGATTTCCTCCGTCACCTTTTGTCCCTTTTACATCAGTGAAGTTGCCAATACAAGTCCTCAAAAGTTTTTGTTTGTTGTAATTGAACCCTAAATCTTTTAATTTTTTAAATTTGATCTAATTGAGTTATTTTATCCTCTACTTGAATATGCTTTAATGTTTTCAGTTTTCTAAACTGTGAATAACACTTTCAATGCCATAAACATAAAATCTCTCCATGAATAAAAAATAAAAATAACATTTGTTGCTTTTGTGAGCATTTTACCAATTTTCAGATACACTTAAGTAATTGTATCATAAAAATGTATGAATATTGGCATATTTTTATATACAAGGGGGGTTCATTAGAGCGTTGAGAGTCTTCATGTTCAATCACTTGAAATTAAAGAATTGGGATGCAATTACAAGAAAATAAAAAAGTTGGAGGACTTACATCAGCAACCAACCAACAGGAAAGGACAAAAACCAACGAAGGAAACCACAAAGCATTAAAGTGCGAATTAGTCAAACCACAACATGCTAGCATTTGGCATTCTTCCTTTTGCTGGCACAGCCCGCACGTTATTTGCAAGTTGCAGCTATGGCGTGAGGCAGGCATAATGCCCACTGGAATAGTGCTATACATACCCTTTGGATATGTGCAGCTAAAGTCGGCAACTTGGGCACGTAGAATACCACGTTGCATGCCTGCTGTTAGGTATATGATGCTACAAAACCCTCGAATTGCTTGGGACAATTATATTAAAAAATAATATAAATCATATAAATTTTTAGATAAAATGATAATTTGACATGATATCAGAATTTTTATGACCAAATAGTAAAAAATTCGAATCCTACTACTCCTACTTTCTCTTCATAACATAAATCATATCCTAGGTCTTTTGACACGTTCCACCTTAATTAATTGGCTCCTTAATTCAAACTATCCTACAAGGTTCTGGCTTTGAAGGAAAAGTAGGGGCAGTGGGCACCATAAGACATAGGATTAGAGATGGTGAAGGCTATATTGAAATGATCCATGTACTTTTGGGCATTAGAGACTCAGGCTTAGAGATTAGAGAAGCATGTGAGTTCAAAAGTCACAGGAGGCATTAAGAGGTCGCCAACATGCGCATGTGGAAAATAGAACATAGAATTGGCTGATGTCAAATAGCCTGGCATTGGCCAGTTAGCATAAATGCTTATCCGAACCACCCTGCTGATATATCGACTAATCCTGTCTATGACAGGCATTAGCAATTACTGCAAGTTCAGATAATCCAATAGGGACAAAATGGGACATCGATTACCATTTTTCTAGCAGACGAGAGGCAAACTCTAGGAAACTTGTTACTACTTTACTTGCATATGTTAGTTGGTAATGTAGACTAAAGTGTTTTCCCAAGTGAAATGATCCCGCATAGTATCCACCCTATAAGCTGTAAAACTACCTCTCTGCTTGTACAGCTAATATTGATCGCCTCTTTTGTACTAGAAGTAGACTAAAATGAAGTGGCCTCTCGACAATGACTAATGAGGGAGGGGGTGACCTGAGTAGAAAAACATGCTGCATTTAGACATCTACAGCATCAACAGGAAGGGAAGTTGCCCGATGAAGACAATGTGGAACCAAAGCGCCTGTATAGAAACTCTTAGCCGTGACCATTTGCTCAGGAGTGCAGACCCTGTTGATTGCCTCATGATTTGGGACCTTTCTATTTGCTGATACAACACACCTTTTATCAGCATCGGTGGAAAAATATGAAGTAAAATTCTTTGCAGAGGAAAGAAACTTCAGGGAAGCCTCATTTTTGTCCCTCTTTGCTTTAGGGAAAATCGAAGCCAGAGAAGGGACGTTATCTTTCTGGTGCTCCATGTTTTCTGAATTAGGACTTAGGCTTGAAGATTTTGATTTGACTCGCAATTGTTGGTCTTTGAGCTCCCTTAACTGTATCTGATACTTGGCTTTAAGCCATCTTAATTCTTGCCTAATTTCGTTCTCATAATCATCCCAATGTGCTGAAGGGTTCTCGCAGGTAGAATTTCTTGCATTGGATTCGCTAAGACTGTCCACGTTTACGATTCTTTCCTTCTCCTCAAAGATTGATTGGTTTGTTGTGCTCGGACCCTGATCACAATGAATCTCTCTTGATCCTTGTGAACTTGGTGCATCTCGCTGAGCCCAAATGTCAGTATAATTGATGACTGTAGATTGGCTTGGTGAAACAGGAGCACAGTCCTTGCTAGTACATTGCTCAGGCCCTCCGACTTGAAATGTAATTTCCTCGAACCGGCCATGGACAGCAGCGCATCCAGGTTTAGAACACTGAAGGACTTGCAGGTTCCTGGTGCCTGGACTATTTGATGAAAAATAATCCAGTAGGCGACCATGTGAAGCACAATTCTGACAGAAACTTGCATCCGTGCTCTGTGGACTTTCCTCTATGCCCAGTCCCCTCTTCCATTCTGGTACCAAGGTTGAGATTTCACCATCGATCATATCTGCTATCTTCAAAACATCTTGCTCTGTAATATCAAGCTCATCAATCATTTCAGTTGCAACACTTATTGCTGTGTCAGTCTCAATGTCAAATGGGAAGTAGATGTTTCGTATGCGGCCTGCATAGAGGAGTAACAGTATTGTCAAAGTCTATGTCAAACCACAATAATGAACAAATTATGGAACTTCTCTTACCTTCCTCATCTGCAATCCTGAGCCTTAAGAAGATGCCATCATCCTCTCTCCGCCTCCCTTTAATTGCAATGGCAACATTTTCCAAGTGCTCATCCTCTTGACAGGTGAAGAGATCAATTGGGCTTGTCTCAAGCTCAAGTTGATGGTATTCTATTTCATTCTCAAGATCATAACCCAGATAATCGGTAAAACCATTGGTCAAAGAGCTGTTACTCTGATGAATTCCATAGAGAGGTTGTGTCGCTAGAGGACCTACTTCATTCAAATCTCCTTGGCAATAATTTATTGACCTCAGATCACATCCAGAATCATCAATTTGAAGAAAAGGGTCATTCAAAAGCTCTCTCGCTGAGAGCCTGGTGGACACAGTAGCTAGACATTTCTCAACAAATTTTCGCACCTCAGGATATTTTACTTTGTACAAAGCATCTGGTTTTTTCCCCTACATGAAAATATGCATTTGTAAAATGAAGCAATGAAGATATATTCGATCAATAAAAAAATTCAGAATTTGTAGTTCCTACAGATATAACTTTCTTGTAAATCTGAGCAGCGTGGTTGCATTCGCTATATGGATACTCAAAGGTGACCATCTCCAAGACACACATCCCAAAAGAATAAATGTCAACTAATTCATTATACTCCTCCTCATACACCTCTGGAGCCATGAACTCTGGTGTTCCTGAGTGACAAAATATAGAACAAGAGAACTCAAAAACTCAAAAACTCAAATGCACTCACATTGAAAAATCTAAAGTTGCTAGTTTAATTTAAGCATTCTGGATCAGAAAAATTAACCACAAGCATTTCTGACAGAACAGTGATTATGTGTGCATGGTGAAAGTGTAAAAAGGCGTAAACCATATGCAAATATTCAGTTTGAGGAATGATCTTGGTTAAGTTTAGAACTTAGCTAGAATCGAACTTACCGACACAACGAGCAGCGTGGGATTTCTTAAGGATTGCAGCAAGGCCAAGATCACCAATTTTGACTTCTCCTTGGTTACCATTAACAAAAACGTTGTCACACTTGAGATCTCTGTGGATTACAGGGGGGTCATGGCTGTGAAGATAGAGAAGACCCTTCAATATCTGCCTACACCAATGCTTGACAGCTCTAATATTTACTCTCCTGTGTTTAAGCCTATACCTAGGCAAAAAATAAAAAAAAGAAAAAGAATGAAACGCGCCCTCATTGAATAATCAATGAATTTCAATCAACCAGATAACCAAATAACAAGAACGAAAGACTAAAATTTCTTGAAACTTGTACAATGCTTACTGTCTTAAAGTACCAGAGGTGAACATCTCAGTGACAAAGTTGATGTTCCTGTTAGCAGTATCAACCCAAGAAGTATAAAACTTCATGATGTTTTCATGATTTAAGGTCTTGAGTAGATGAATTTCACAGTAAAGCCTCTCAAGATCTTCAGGGGTCTGCAAGGAATCATAAAGCTTCACCTGATTCCAAGCTACCTCAATTCCTTCATACTCATCAAAGGCTTTATAACTGCAACACAACAAAAATTAAACCCTCACATTCCCAAAAATCGAAACCACATTTAAATGGAAAACCACCAACAAATTAAGACCCAAAAAAGAAAACATCCATACACAGTCTTTGAGGCTCCTTTGCCAAGAATTTCATTGTACTGCAGAAACCAGAAAGAAAACACATATATGAGCCTCAAAACTCAAACTTTCAAACGTAGATGAGAAAATGCAAGAAAAAGGTACGCGTAAATGTAAATTTACTCTTCCATATCTGCCAGTAGGATCAACTTCAACAAACTCATAGTAATCTGGTTCAAGACTTGTAGTATCGTTCATTCTATCCTCAAAGCTCTACAAACTTTTATGCAGACAATAGAAAGAGAGAAAGAAGGAAGTATAAATTGCAGAATATCCAAGTTACTAATATTACAAGTGAAAAAACTGAAGAGCAGAAATATACATATATATATATATATATATATATACAAGGAAAGAAAAGAAGATGGAAATAAATAATAAATATTTATTAGTAACTGAAAAAAAGAGGCAAGTGTAGCTAGTACCTCGGTGAGTCCATAAAAAGGACAAGGTTAATAGCCAACTAATCAGAGACAACGAGGCTAAAGAAATCACAAGGTTGGACCCACCTAGGACCGAACCCGACAAAACAGCCTCTCTTTTCCGCCCTCTCCAGTGTCTCGGTCGATGCTATCGTTTCTATGCAAATGCATTACTTTCTTTTTCCAATCTCCTTCTCATCACGAGCGGTAAAACCAAAACTTTCTTTATCCGGCAACAGCTTGCATATGGACCAATCAGTTTTTCTGTTGTATATATTATTTTTAGTAGGTTTGTTCGCAGAAGAAAAGGTCTGAACTAGAATTTTGCATTTTTATTTGGTGAAAGGTCATTTTTGCATCATGGAAATCTTATGAAACTTTTCTACTTGACCCTTTTTTATTTGTTTTTATTACCCTTTTTTTTAGTTGCGATATCAATGACCTTAAAACTTGAGTTTCATGTTGACATGGATTGGGAATTGCTTGAATTTTTATTTTTCTTGGTTAATGATCATAAAGTTTAATAAATCTTTATATAATAGTCTGAATCCTCAATTTATCTCTATGTTGTATCTATTATATTTTTAAATAATGCTTAAATTTTTAATTTATGCTTTCGATCAATTTTTTCTATAATATGTAAATTTTTTAGCCGAAATATTTTTAACTAAAGTATAAAGAAAAAAAATCTAAAGGCAATGATAATAGAATATACAGATCATGTGATTTTAAGTAATTTTTTTTCTTTTTACATTTTAGTTAAAATCATTTCGATCAAAAAAATTATTTATTATCGGAAAAAATTGATCGAAAGAATAGATTAAAAAATTAAATATCATTTACGAACATAATAAATATAATTAGAAATATAATAACAGATTTAAAACTCAAACTATTATATAGAAATAAATTAACTTATTTATTGTTTTTTCCTATTTTTCTAATCTTTTTTTTCCTTTTTAGGGTTTAAATTCTAGATTTCTAGAAGTTTCAACCATTGGATTATACTCTTTGAAAAAAAAAAATCCATTCAACTAATTTTAATATAGTCTGGCAGCTCTATAACCGAGTAGATTATAAACTAGCTTTTTTAGTTTTGTAAAACAAATTAAATAGCCTATCATATTTTAAAAATTAATTGATTAGTTTTTTAAATTAGTATTGACCATAGTTAAATTAATATTATTTTATTTCAAAAAATGTCTTTTTATCTAATCTATCTTTATATTTATTAAAAAAATAAAATAATTAAGTTATAAATAAATTTCAAAATAGAAGAACTAATTAATTAGTTTTTGAAATAAAAAGGATTATTTAATTTGTTTTTACAAAACTAAAAGGACTAATTTATAATTTACTCATCTGTAAAATTTGTTACACCTCCAAGTATAAACAAAAAATGACTAGAATATAAAATTCTTTAACCTCAATTGATCTCCTAAGCTAGCCTCGCATTATCTGCCAAAGTAGTCATTAATTTAGTACAACGAGATGTCTTATTGTCGGAGATTATGGCCTGGGATAAACATATAGGTCACTACGGGATCAGTCATGTGGTACTTTTAAAAAAGTTTCATGTTATTATCGGTTTTTAAAAGGAATTTTCAATTTATTTGTTTCATCGTAAACCACAAGTTATGTACTCCTTTGAGCATTGACGACAACGATTGTTGTGTCATTGAAGAAGCGTGTCGTTGCAGACGATTCTTCAATTTGTTGAAGCTCACAACATATCCATAAAAAGGGGACAATTGTAAGAAATATCCTTTCAGATCATATCTTATGTTTTGTTTTGAATACGTAAGTTATAATTCAAGGCTTAGAGTCTATTAAAATCTAAAAGCGGACTAGGTATATGAATAATTGATGGAAGTCTAATAATTATAGTAAAGAAACAAGTTATTACTAAAAAAAACTAAATGATCTGGATAGTAATTATTCATTTATTGTAGCAATTTATTTTATTTATTTATTTATTTTTTTTTTTGCTCTGGGTTGAACGGCCTTGGCTACCTGGCGCTTGGGCCTGTCCTGGCAGCTCGCACCTGGCCCTCTTTTGTTTTTCAATATCCCTTCAAGGAAGCATGTATAAGGCCTGCAAGCTTATCCAGTTATCCGTGCTTTCAATGCATGACAGTGATTTCTCTATTCTTTTTCTGCAGCCACTTTTATTATTTGAACATGACTTGAACTTTTTTTCAAAAATAGAATATAAAGAAAACGTTTTTCAATATATGAATAATAATTATTATTTTAACTAAAAACTAAAACGTGTAATGATTTCATTGTTCGAATGAATAGTATAAATAGTGAAACCATCACGCAATTGTACTGTTTATTTAAATAATATAATATTTATATATATATATACTTTTGCTTTATCCTCAATTATACTATTCAATCTTAATTTTTTTTCTCTCTTTTTTTAATTTTCACTCTTATTTTTTTTATTTTTTAAAAAATATAAATTGTTTCGTCTTTATTTATTATTTTTTATTTTTCACCCCTAGTTTCTTAAAAAAATTTTAAAATTATTTCATTTTGATCCCTAAAATTTTAAAATAAAAATTTTAATTCCCAGCTAATATACTATATGTTTTTTTTCTTTAGTTTTTTTCTCATCAATTTATGTTTTTTTTTTTAATTTGATTGAGTGTTAAAATTTTTAAAAATCGATCATTATTTTTTTTTCACATAGGTCGATGATTTATTTTACCCTCATACTATACTACTCAATCTTAGTTTTTTTTTTTTTTTCACTTTTTTAAAATTTTTCAGTATTACTTTTTTTTCTTATTTTCTTAGTTTTTTTAAATTTTTACTCTTATTGCTTTAAATTCTTTTCTTCAATTATTTGTTTCTTATTAAAATTCTAATCAAATTAATTTTTTGATATAATTTTATTTGTTAATAGATTTAGTTTTTTAATATATGAATTTAGAAATAAAATTTTAGAACGTCAATTTTTTTACACATATTATTATGATTTATAAATTCTTCTTCTCATCATCATCATCATTATTATTACACACACACACAGAGCTAAGAATATATTTTAAATAGCCCGGCTTAATTTTTTTAAGAAAAATTAATAATAGGTTAAAAAAGTCATAAGTTTTATTTGTTATTTTATATATATTTATTTGAAATTTATCAAAATCGATTTTATTATACTTTTTATTTTAATCTATTGACTTTGATATATTTTATACAATTTAACGAGCCTGGTTTTTTTTTTCCTTCATATATATATTATCATGAATTTAGGTGTGAAAAATATAGAAAATAACAAATTTTTTTTAGTTTTACATGCAATTTCAAGATGATACAATATATATGATATTTTTTAAGATTTTAGTTTGAACATATATATCCGATTATATTACTCTTATTGTTTAAAATTTATTTCTTCAATTATTTGTTTCTTATTAAAATTCTCATCAAATTAATTTTTTGATATAATTTTATTTGTTGATAAATTTTTTTCTTTAATATATAAATTTTGGAATAAAATTTTAGAACATTGTTGTTTTATATTTTAAAAATATATTATTATAATTTATAAATTCGATTATATATATATATATATATATATATATATATATATAGAGAGAGAGAGAGAGAGAGAGAGAGAGAGAGAGAGAGAGAAGCATGTTTTAGATAGTTTGGCTCAATTTCTTAAAAAAATTCACAAGTGTTATTTGTTTTTTATATATATTTATTCAAAATTTATCGAATCAATTTTGTTGTACTTTTTTTAGTCTATTGACTTCAATATATTTCATACAATTTAGGTTGGTTTTTTTATATATATTTTTCTATTTATTCTATATACTTTGAATCGTTAAGTATGATATGTATATATATTATTAGTTTTATTAGAAATTAACTATTTATCTATACACATAATATCAATTCTTTATTATTTATGTTTTATATTTTAAAATTTATTTTTTAAAATAAAATAAGTTACATAATGTTTTGAAAGAGCTTCTCAATTATTTAAATATAAATTTTTATGTTAATATTATTAAATATTTTGTTAATAAATATATATATAAATCAAGCGATTTCCCTCGATATATAGATTCGATTTATATTAATAATCGAAGATAAAACTTTTACTCGCAATATATTAATAAAGATTTGTTTTTTTTTTTTTACTCGTTATTTCTTCATGGCCGAAATTTTCTCTTCTCATGTAGCCGTAGGAAAAACCTAGAAGCTTTGGAGCTTGGTTTGGTTTCATTCTTTAGATGTATAGGATTACTCTTAGCCATTTAACTAATCTCCTAACCGAGCTCGTACACCATAAGTATTCAAAAATAAGGTTGTCACAAGTTGTTTGTTCGGGTGGTGATAATGGAGCTTTGGTGGTAGTGTGCGAGTGGGTTTAAGAGGTTTTATGCATCACTTTTGCGACTGAACTTGTAGTACACTCGTAGGAGAAGAGAATGCATATCTTTTAGTTGGGTATGGTAGAGATTTTGAGAAGAAGAGAAGGTTGTTTTTCGGGTTAAAGATAAAGATAGGAAAAGAAGAGAAGAAACGTCGGTCCAAGGAAGAAAAAGAAGAAGAAGAAAAAGACGAAAGAAAGTGAATAGTACGGGGTGAAACGAGTCGTTTCACCTCGCACTTATTATTTTTTTCAACGTAAACGAGTGCAAAACACACTTGTTGCATTTAAGTCCCTTTTTTTCCTTGTCATCTAACAACGTAATCGTTTTTCCACATAAAAATTATTGAATTATTTTGACGGGCGATTGCATTTTTATT